ATGATCTCGGCCTTACACACCAAGAAACTGAACCATCAACATTTATGCAACTTGTTCAGTGCCTCCAACATTAAACCTCTGGAGGCACCTCTGAAGGTGTGTCAAGAGGAGAGGCCAAAAGCAGGCAGTACCGGTCCCCTCCCCAGGCAAGCAGCTGCTCTGTCACTGTCCTCTGAACGAGGTTAACTCAAGACTCCAAGTTAGGGAACTGCTTAAGTCAAGCAAGGATACGATTCAGGGGGCAGAAGTGCAAACCTGAATGCAACAGCCAGAGCCCCAGCCCCTCTCATTGTAAGACTCTGGGTAACATGTGGGAAGATGTACAGAGGGAGACCAACGTTGCTGAACACACTCCAAAGCAAAGGACATTGTCCTACAGCTGTGGCTCTCGGGAAGTGCATGGCCGCAGACGCTGAAAGGAATGCACATTCCCAGGCCCATGCCAGACCCATGAGTCAGGCCTCCCGGGGCAAACTCCAACAACCAGAGTTTTAACACGGCCACCACGGGATTGTAAGCCCGCTGAAGTTTGAGAGCCCTTGCTCTTCGGGAGGTGCGCTACTCAGTATGCCATCACACACCAGAAAGCTTCCAGGCAGCTTCTCAGTGCCTGTTTATGTGAAAAGTAGTCTGAAACCACAAATTTGAAGAAAGATTCTTATGAAAGAAATACAGCCAGGCATAGTAATGCACACCTGTAATCCCAGCACTTGGGAGGCTGAGGCAGGAGGATCACTGTGAGTTCAAGGCCAGCCTGGGCTCCATAGTAAGACCCTGTCTCAGACCAAAACAAAAAAAACCCAAGAAAATCCACTGGTCTCTGTTGCCCCATCCTTGGCTCTAACAGAGTAATTGTAGCTGACACCCTCAGTAGGAACTCCATCTGAGTAACTTACTTGTTCCTTTGAATAAGCAGAAAGCTTATTAATGGAAAAATCACTCAAGCATTTTTCTGCTACAGATTTGGTATTTGCATTAAATGTTCTACTTTATGTAGCTGTGATCTGCAACCATCCCACCTGCCGTTCTCTTTCCTCAGTGTCTCAGAAGTCCTCCTGAGCCCACTCTTACAAAGTAACCTTAATCCAAAACTTCTCCCTTACTATGCACCTTCTAGTCTTCACTCACACCAAATGTTACTGCCACAGCTCAACAGTTCTGCTTAAAAATCTCCCGCAGCCTCGGCATCTTCCACCATGTGATCACCGTGGACAAAAATCTCTCATCTATTTTTATTTCCTCTGCCTCCTTTTGTCCAGGATATTTTCCTTAATTCTCTTGATTTCCCCCTTGCCACCTGTGAAGATCTTGCCCCTTTTTCTCCAATCTATTTCTCATCTGGAAATACATTTCCTTCGAAGAGATTTCAAAGGGATGAAAACTTCCTGCCAGGAATAATGCAAAGAATACCCCTCATGTAATCCTCACATTAACAAACCATTTCTATTTTTACATTTAGAAAACTGAGGCTTAGAGAGATTAAGTAACTCGCCCAAGGTTACAAGTAGGATTTTAATCCAAATCCTTCTGTCTTCAAAGCCAAATTCTTAACCATCTGACTCCTACTGTACACAGTAGTGTAACTCAAATTCATGCAGAGAAGCAGTTTCCTAACCTGTGTAGAAAACAGGAGCAAAAAGATCCCTCTGCACAGTTCAGTTTTGGGCTTTTTTTTTTTTTTAAAGACTCAACACAGAATTCTTTATTCTGTACATGGTAAAAACATCACAAATAATATAAAACCTGTATGTAAAATATAGGATATCTCCAATACTTTCCCCTTATGTGGCAGCACACTAGCATATGCAAGAGTTCATATAGTTGATGGCCATAGGAGAAAGTAATTTGGGCCAGACATCAGCCTTCAAAGACCAGGTCATGGTCAATTTTAATCAGAATAGCAGTATTAAGAGAGTTTCTAAGATGCTTGCATTTGCCTATTTTATTTTGCATTCCTGCTCATTTCATCCACAGCCTAACTTCTCAGTTATGGTTCTTTGCCTCTGAAGTAGTACTATAAAAGTACAAGGAATGCTTCTACTCAAGATGAAAGTTTCACCAGAAAAAAAGCATAGTAGAAATAACAAAGCTTAAAAACAAAAAAAAGCATGCTTGATTTCAGAAGTACTTAGTAATTTTTAAGAAAGCTTACCATAAATACTTCCAAAAACAACAGGCTTTACAATCCTGCATATAGAGCCAACTTGACCCACTCAGGCCATTAGTCAAATTCTGCTTAGTAATTTCCTTCTCACATACCTTTCCATCTCAGACGCCAATAACCATCTGATTCCTTCTTTACCTAATGATCTGCTGTTTGCCGTCTTTTAAGTCAGCTTACGATATGGTTTAAATCAGTTGGTTTCCTAAGTCACATGATTTCTATCATTTCAACATCATGCTGCTGCGTCTTTACACAAGCAATCTCTCAAGGTTTACAAAGTGAAAAGGAAAATTCTTTTCCAAATCCCTTCTTGCTTAAAAAATTAAATGTGTAACACCAACCACAGGCACCCCAAACATGAAGCCAAACCACAAAATGACTCGATAGTTTCAGAAGGTAACTCTGATTCCTGGGTTCCTTGCCTGTAGCTTCAGCACGAGGGCTGGTCTTTGACACTTCCTTTCCTCTCAGCCCACCTGGAGATCCCAAGGGGAGAGTCCTCGCACAATTACAGGCTGAGGAAACCTGTGAAATCACAGGCCTTGGAATAGAGAAGCTGCTTTCAAAACCACATTCTCACCCCTGCTGGAAGGAGCTACCAAGGTAGGTCGCCTTGTACCTAGGAACGTGTTATACTGCTGGGAGAACAGCGCTAGAGACTTAGTTGGCATTCTGGGCCTGGTGCGTACCACTTTTGTGTTAACTATTCCAAGACATCAGCAGAGTTGAATAAAGAAAAGAACGAAACAGGTTCCCCAAGGGCACGTGGAACACAGGTCTCTTCTTGCTCCTGTTTTTAAGTAGCCCTGCATTAGGAAATCACTTCATGCTTTAGGTGATGCAGCTTTAGTGAGGAAGCTCTGGTGAAGTTTTTCCCGCAGCAGTCATACTGAAATGGCTTAATTCCTGAATGCTAAGCACAAGCTGCTTTAGGTATAGCAACCACAATCCATGGTTGGACACTAAAACGGCCCATCTGGAACGTCTGGACTTGGTCATTCTGTACTGCTGGTAAAAGGTTTGAAGTGTCGGTAACATCTACTGTGCTTATGAGGAAGCCTGTGGATTAAAATCAAAACGTCTTCTTGGACTTGTGCACTTCCTGGCACTGTCTGTTGATCACTTAGTGAACTCCAAGATGCGCCGATGATCTGGGACGCTTCCTTGTGGACCTCATCACTTAATCTTTCTGCTTTGACTTGAACATCCTCTTTGGCCCACAGAGGCAAGGCAGTTTTGTGCTCTCAATATCACACAATCAATTATTCTTCTCCCTGCCTCACATGGGCCATTCTAAAGTCTGGGTATTTTCTGCCTGTTTCATTGTCTCAGGCTGAATTCTTTGATAAATTGTAAAAAAAGAAAAAGTCTAAGGAAAAGCTAAAGAACTCAATATCTGGGGTGAACTTGTTTGTGTGCTAGCCTTTACAGAACTCCCAGGAGACAGAACAATGTAGCTTTTTCTGGGATTCTTAGTAGACAAGAATGATCTTTCCACCACACTGCACTCCGAAGATATGTGAGAAATGCTTCCATCTCGGGTAGTAAAACTGCAGTTACAATTACTTTCTTGCCCAGCACCTAGATTGTTTTCTGGCTCTACTTGGTGTATTCCAAAAATTAATTGGTTTCATGAACAGTGCACAGTGCTGGCAACACTAAACATTTGCATATAGCTGGCAGCAGCTAGAACACGAGTATTTTCTGTGCTAATTGACAGAGTGGCTATGTAAGCATATTCTAAAAGGGGTATAGAGCCAGTTACTGTCATGTGATGCAGACCCAACAAGATCTTGTTCCCATCCTCTTTGTCCTACGAGTTTGGTGCAAAAGAATTCACTGTAAGCTGCTAGTACCACCTATGTGTCCGAAAGATTTTGTCCTGGACATAAACAATGACATCACAAAAATGTCCATCATTTCCCAGCACATTTAGTTTTCAAACCCATTCATGACAGTGGGAAGAGAAGCTATGCGGGAATGTTTTCACATCTATCTCTCCCTTCCTCTTCTCCAGATATAAATGTAAGTTCTCTTAAAAGGATCCAAATAAATCCAGAATGTCTTTGGAGTCACGTGATTTGGGGAGGAAATAGGTCTTCAGAGTAAGGGACGGTCACAATCCAGGGACCACGTTCAAGCTGCGCGCCAGGCCTGAGAGGAGGAGCCAGGGGGCAAGGGGAGCCCTGCGCAGCTGCAGTTGAGGGGACGTTGGCCAAGGGCGGGCAGCGGTTTGAGGAGCTGGTAGGGAACCAGTGGTTACAGCAGCCCTCTCCCAAGCTCATCAGTCTGGGACCTTTTCTGGGGGGAGTGGGCTGGGAGATGAGAATCTGTCAGTATGAGCTGAGCAGCAACCCACCTCAAAAGAATTCCAGATCTTGTAAGAGCTCTTTAAGAGACCAGATCGTCATCTAACAATCAAGGAGAGGCAATGACTCCAGAGCAGGAGCCTTCCCTTCTGCACAGCACGGCCCCTTTAGGGGCACAAAGAAGTCCATGTGCCAAGAGAAGATGCTCCAGGGCGCCCACCCTTTCTTCCACGGATAGAGGGTGTGTGAACACATCTTCTCTGGTCCATGTAACAGAAAAAGAGGCGGACACCCATGTCGCCCCCACCCCCCGGGCCTGGCGGCTCACTCGTCCTCCCAACCCACAGCTGAAAGGCTTCCCTCGTCCCTCCCAGCTTGGCCTGCATCCCCCTCTCTTACCAGCTCAGTCTCCTCTAGTCTCGGTCTCCATCCCTCGGCCCCTGTCCTCTCTGCCCCTGGCCCCCGCCCCTCTTTGATTCTGGTTCCGCTCCTCTCCACCCAGCCAGTCGCCGCCCAGCCCGCGGCACCTTGAGCGTCACGTCGCACAGTTTGCCCTGCCGTCGGATCTCCTCCATGACGCCGTAGCCGCGACTAGGCAACTCGGACACTGAGAAGTGCACCAGGTCCTCAAGCTCCTCCGCGCCGTCCTCCACCATCTTCCCCGGCCGCCGCGACTGCGCAGGCCCGGCCGGCGGGCTCCACACTAATCAGGGCGGGGCGAGAGCGCACGCCGACTACAGCTCTCAGCGCGGAGCTGCAATTAGATGAGCCCGCGCGGCAGCCGTAGGCGCAAACTTCTCTGCGCCGGAAGCCCGGCCGCCCCGCTTCCTGGTTCAACCACAGCCTGCGTTTCCCCGTTCTCATAGCCTCGGCTTTGTGCATACACCTGCTGTAGTCTTTCTAGGTTAATGGGTCCCATTTGCCGTTTTCTGATTCGTCCTTGATCTTACTCGTATCACCGAAAGAGGTCTTTGGATTTCATTTCCGCCACACTCTAAGGCACTTCCGGAAATCCGGAAGCGGCCTGTTACCATGGCGACTGTATACACTGCCCAGCTGCCCAGCCCGTAGTGACCCGGTCTCGTGCAGTTTGGATTGCTGCACTTGCCGCTGTCGCGCTCAGAAAGTGCCGCTGCCTCGCAAGGGGTAAGCAGGGGCCACATGCGCTTGGGGTTTGGGCGAAGGGAGCCCCGATGGGGTGTGCGTCCGGGCCGCAGGCAGTGGCTGACTGAGGTCCTAGCGCGCTGTACTCAGGAGATCCCGGCTTAGAGTATTTATTTGTGAAACCTAGGCGGAAGAGGGCGAGGCACCCCAGGACCCCTTTCAGCCTGTCAGTAACTTGGGGTTTTTGGAGCTAATGTTCCCTGGCCTCACGAGGGTCCCACGTAGCGCCCAAGACACAGATGTTGTGAGGCGAAGAACCAGAAGTCGTCTGGACTCTTCACTCCTCAGTTTTCGAACTGGAAAGGGCTTCGGGATCATCAGCTCGAGGCTGTCACTTTACAGATCCACCCCAGAGAGGGACAGGTGTGACCCAACGCCTCCTGCTGCGCACACTCCACACACAGCTCCTTCACGTTAGGTGAGGAAAAGGAGAAAGGCTACTTCTGCCTGGATGCAAGGCTTGTGTCCAGTCCAAGGCCGGGTGTGGTCGAACTCTATAGTTTGGGTTCAGAGGCTGCTGCTACAACACATCCATCTCTGTCCCTGGTCTGGGCAAGAGCACTGGAAGATACAGACCTGCCTATTGCCTACAGTCCGTCTCTTGTGAGCCTTCAGGGATGCCCCATTCCCATTCCTAAAACAAACGGGGAAGCCGTGAGTCTTAGCACAGAGATCTCCTAACAGCAGCATATGAAGGATGATGCCTAAAAGACAGGGGTTTCCCCGCAGCGTCGTGAGGAAGAAAATCCTGTTAAAAAGGAGATGCAGTGAGGAGCCAAGCATGGCTTTTTATACCTGGAAACCAAGTGCTGGCTTGCAGAAGGGCTGAAGGTAGTGTAGGAGGTGAGGGACATTACATATCCCTTGGGATTCTCTCAGTAGTGATTGAAGATGGACGCAGATGTGGAGACTCAGCCACCCTGTGACTTCTGGCCCTGACCATCACTGCCAACCACCATTTCCTGACCCCCCCACCCGCTCTGTACCAGGCGCTGTTCTGGATATTGTTGGGCGGGGGGGATTCAAAAGACATAGAAGGCGCAGAACTTGCCCTCTGACATCTCACCAGTAATTTGGGCTTGGGAGCTGAAACCCACATAAATGAAGCGGCATAGAAATGGTAACAAGCAGTGTTTCAGTAAGTGTACAGTGGCATGGGGGTCCCCAAATGTCTGGGTATCCAGGGGATGCTAAGTAGAAGGTCACAGGAAAGGCTTATTGCATGAGGATATAGCTCCTGGCATGCTTGGAGTCATGGCATTAGCATGAAAGGGACAGACTGGGCAACTGCATGTGCATGTTGGCAATTTCAGGGCAGAGACCGGGAAGGCTCTGGGGGCTGCTGTGGCCTGGCCTGTGTTACCCTCGTGCTGTTGGCAGGCAGGGACTCCAGAGAGGGAGACTTGGACACCTGCTCCCAGAGCTCCCCTGCTTCTTCATGGTCTCTTTCAGAGGGCACTCTGGATGGCATTTGAACTTCCGGGCCCGAGGATTGGCCCTTGGTGCTGGCATGGGAAGTGGTTCTGGTGTGGGGATTTTAGAAATTGTGTATGTGTTTGAGTCAAAACCAAATTCCCTCTTCCCTCAACTTCCTAGTAGTATAAATCAAACTGCAGTTAGTCATGAGATATGTTCTCCATTTTCCTCAGTTTGGGGGCTTGTGCTAGAGCTATCTGTAGCTTTTTATTTCTAAAGCTCAATTTTGCAGACAAAAAATAATGTTAGGGCTTCTGTTGCTCACCCCAATATCTTTTAGATTAATTTTATTTTTTGTTTTTTTTTCCCATAGAGTCTCATGCAGTTCAGGCTGGCCTTGAACTCACTATGTAGCCTAGACTGGCCTCGAATGTAAGGCAGTTGTGCCTCAGGCTCCCAAGTGCTGGAATTACAGGTGTGGACCACCACACTTGACCAGATTCATTTTCTTTTTCTTTTTTCTTTTTTTTTTTTTTTTTTTTTTTTGTCTTTTTCCTTTTTATCGGTACCAGGGATCAAACTCATGACTGCCTGCTTGTAAGGCAGGCGCTTATGCCATTGAGCTAAATCCCCAGCCCCCAGATTCATTTTCTAAAAATAAAAAATGCTACATGCTATGTCCCACAGCATCTAGGAAAAGGACTTCCATGAAGTAGTGACCTGAGGGATGTAGCAAGTGCAAACACACTGTGTAAGTACCATGTTCACTCACTCGATTTGACAGCTGCAGGAGATATGAGAGGTCATGGTTTTATTTTGCCCACATCATTGAAACTAAACTAAAAAATCTACACCTGTCTCTATTTAACTGGCTCCTATAAGGACACTTCTTAACACCACTTGATGATATTATTATAAGAGGAAATCAAAGAATCACCACAAATTGTGTCTGGAAATGAGAAAGGAAATTAATATGTTAAAAATCTAGAATAATTATTGTTAGGTAACAGCACTGAGCCTCTCTTAGTAAATTATATATAAAACGTTGCTATTTATTTAACAAACTTTTTTGTGATGCTAAGGATTGAACCTAGGACCTTCACACTGAACTTCCTCCCTAGCCCTTGCGTGTGTGTGTGTGTGTGTGTGTGTGTGTGCGCGCGCGCGCGCAATCAATATGCTTCATATTAACCAAACAGAATAATCATTTCAGACCCAAGAAACTCACAGCAAGAGAATGTGAAGAGCCACCAAAGGGTTTGGAAGATTACTGGCTTCCCAGTACTCACTCTTGGTTACAGAAGCATTTCACTCTGGGGATCATAGTGTTTACGCACTGCCATTAACAATCTGATCTAAGGAGCCACGGAAGCCAGGAGAGACCTGTTCCCCAAGACGCATCCTTTCTGGCGTGGGGACAAATTCGTACTTCTGAAAGGAGAACCGAATCATCTTGGCATCCACACACAGCCTCTTCCTGGAACAAAATTGCCTGTCGCTTGATGAGGTCTCTCAACTGGCTCAGACAGAGGCAGGACAGGAACTAAGCTACCTGGTCAGGCCCAGGAACACGACAGACAGGCAGAGCTCACTGAGGAGCGGTGATATGCACAGAAGCCGTGTTACTAGGGCCACTCCTTCACGTCTCTGGAGGAGTTCGATACAACCACTGTCTTTGTCAACTTTGGGCTGCTCCAGGCAAAGTGAATACAAACACACAGCTCTTTATATTTTTGACTTTGACAGTGTTTCCCTAACTCACAAAGTTTCCTGGACTGGGCTCAAATTTGTGATCCTCCTGCCTCAGCTTCCCAGAACACTGGAATTACAGATGTATATCACCAAACCTAGACTTCATGTGCTTTAAAAATAATAATTCATTAATTGAAAGAAATTCATGTTATACCTGAGTGGTTCTTTTTTTTTTTTTTTTTTTTTAATAACAGAGGTCTTTGAAATTAGCTTTAAAGGCAGGTGTGGTGCTGCATACCTGTAATCCCAGTCCCCAGGAACCTGAGATAGGAAGATCGCTGTGAGTTCAAGGCCAGACTGAACTCTTAATGAGACTGTTTTTTAAAAAACGACAAAAAATTAGATTAAGAAATTTAACATTGAGCCAGGGATTTAGTTCAGCAGCACAGGTACCTGCTTGGCAAGTGAAAGGTCATGAGTTTGGTTTGCAGTACCAAAAAAAAAAAAAATTAACATTACATAAGTTTGTTAGAAAGCTCTTCAGATGCTGGGCATCCTGTCCCATCCGCTGCACAGAGCTGCATCCAATGGTTAACCTTCTGTCATGAGTGTACAAACCGTGGTCGTGTGTGATGGGATAAATGAGGGAAGACAAATGCACTTGCGGCTGCCTGAAAGAAACTGGTGAGAGTGTACTTCCATTTCAGGGGAGGGAGAGGGAGTAGGGAACTGTGGTTTCTGTCCGTGGAATGAGAGAAGAAAGACTGACAATGGACCACTAGGCTGGACTGCCCTGCTAGGGGATCTTTTATATGATCCAGTTGGTCAGCTGGAGGTACAGAAAGTGTGTCGAAGCAAAGTGAGTTAACAAAGACAGTTTTTCTTTTTTTTTTTTTTTCTTTTTTTTTTTTTTGGGTGTGTCTTTTTCTTTTTTATCAGTACCGGGGATTGAACTCACGACTGCCTGCTTACAAGACAGGTGCTTAGGCCGCTGAAAGACAGTTTTTCTAGGTGTGGTGGCACATGCCTATAATCCCAGGATTCTAGGAGGCTAAGGCAGGAGGATTCCAAGTTTGAACCTAGCCTGGACAACTTAGTGAGATCCTGTCTCAAAAAGTAATAAAAGGCCTGGGAATGTAGCTCAGTGCAAAGGTCCTGGGTTCCTTTCCTAATACCACACAAAGACACACACAAGGGGCTGGGGATTTAGCTCAGTGGCATAAGCGCCTGCCTTGCAAGCAGGCAGTCGTGAGTTCGATCCCTGGTACCGATAAAGATGAAAAAGACAAAAAAAAAAAAAAAAAGACACACACAAAAGAAAAAGAATAAAAAAAGGAAAATCCTACTTTTAACATTTCATAGGACGTTACAAAAAAATATATGTGAGGCCAAGCAGAAGTGAATGCATCTTAGATGCATAATATTTGCAGAAACACAAACCACTAAAGAGAGGATTACAGTTGCTTTTTATTTCAGTCTCTTTGAGGTCAAAGCCTTTGGAAGTTCAGTGCTTGCCAAACAGGGTCCTTTGGGAAGGGCACTGGCCAGCGCCGGGAGGGAGGGAGAGTGGCTCTCACAGGACAGGAGAGCACCTGCACCTCATTCTTCTGGTTTCCTTGATGCTCCACCCCACTGGTATTGGATGCTTGGCACTGAGCGAGGCCTTGTTCTTTTCCTTTTAGCGAAGATGGGCTCCAAGAAGAAGGTTCACACCTTTGTGCGCGTCAAGCCCACTGATGACTTCGCCCACGAAATGATCAAGTATGGAAATGACAGCAAGGTAAGTGTGTGTTTCTGCCCTCGCCCACTGTGGGGCCTTGCTGTCTGTCCTGTGTCAGTACTGTTCAACCCTGTTTCTGAACAACCACCGGTTAAGGACCCAGGCAGTGTGGGTTGAAGTTCAAATGGATTGGGGGCACTCTGTATCTCCACCACACCCTCACAGTGCAGCTAGGCCCCATCCCTAAGAGCCTTACGATCATTTTAGTGGTAATAGCTTTGTATCCCCCCCATCTGCTCGCACTTACAGAACTTTCTGGTGGTCAGAGCTGTGGTTATATAATCTCTCAGTGGGCAACTTAAGGATGCCTCAGAGGTCCCAGCAGTCAGAGAAGAGCTCAGATGCAGCCCTGTGACGTGTTCCTCTGCATAACCTGGTCTCAGAGAGCACAGAAGCATAGAGTGTTTAGTAAGTGAAAGATCCAGACTTGTCTTTCTTAGTCTTAGTTTTACTCTGCAAATCCAGGTCTTAGGTCAGGAATTAGAGTAGCCAGGTGGAGATTTAAGCACAAAGGTGGGCCTGGTGGCTCATACCTGGAATTCTAGCACTTCGGAGGCTGAAACAGGAGGATCACTGTGAGTTTGAGGTCAGCCTTGAACTAAATAGCAATAGCCTGTTTTGAAAAACAAACAAACAAACAAAAAGGTTGGAGCAAGAGAATGTTTACACCCAGAATCTCCATTAAGAGGAATTTTTTTCGTTTTTATCAGTACCAGGGATTGAACTCACGACTGCCTGCTTGCAAGGCAGGCGCTTATGCTGCTGAGCTAAATCCCCAGCCCCATCAAGAGGAATCTTACTGGGAACTGACTTTACCCAGGATGTCCTTTGGCTAGCTTCTGCCACCATGGCTGGTCCAAGTGCCTGCATAGAAAATCTGCAGAGGACAAGGAGGATGGGCCCCATCAGTTTACTGTGACACCAAACAGTGACTGTGTCTGTGAAGCCCAGAGCCTTTCTGTGCTGTTCCAACCTGGCCCAGGGCCCCAGTGTGGATGGAGGAGCTCCTCACATTGTAGAACAGAAGGGGGCCCTCCACTGTCACCCCGGGCCTGGTTCCTTGCATCTAATCCAGGGGCTCTCTGTACTGAAGGGACATATCTAAGCTTTGTTTATTAAGAACATGAAGCCAAGGAGCTGGGGATTTAGCTCAGCGGCATAAGCGCCTGCCTTGGAAGCAGGCAGTCGTGAGTTCGATCCCTGGTACTGATAAAAAGGAAAAAGACAAAAAAAAAAAAAAAAAAGAACATGAAGCCAGGCATGGTGATGCCTGCCTGGAATCCCAGACTTCAGGAGGCCAAGGCAGGAGGATTGCAAGTTCAAGACCAGTCTGAACTATATAGTGACCCCACTATACAAAAACCACCACCACCACCACCAAAAACCAGACAAATAGACAAAAAACATGATAAACGTGCCTAGCCCCATGTACTGGTTGGAACCTAATGGTGAAAGTTACCTGCCCCCTCAGGATTGTGTGACCTCCCCACAGGAGCTGCTTTCTCCCATTCCAAGGAATTCCTCCAGATTTAGCACCTGTTCACCCTAAAGCTCACTCCTCTATTTTCTCCAACTCAGGCCTCAGGTCTCAGTGATTTGGGTGTTTTGTTTCGGTTTGGTTCTTTTATGTTTTTTTTTTTTTTTACCAGTACCAGGGTTTGAACTCACGGATATGCGCTTGCAAGGCAGGCGCTTATGCAGCTGAGCTAAATCCCCAGCCCTTGTTTTGTTTTTTGAGACAGGGTCTTGCTAGTAACGCAGACTGGCCTCAATACTCTTGGTGATCCTCCTGCCTCAGCCTCCCAAGTGGTAGGATTACAGGGGTACACAAGCACTCCCAGTTGTCCATAGTGGTTTGTTTTGTTTTCTGGCAACAGTGTACTAATAAGTACCTTTTCTTCTCTTTTTTCTTAGAGCATTGATATTCACTTAAAAAAAGACACTCGGAAAGGAGTTGTCAATAACCAGCAGACAGACTGGTCCTTCAAGCTGGACGGAGTTCTTCACAATGCCTCCCAGGACCTGGTTTATGAGACAGTCGCAAAGGATGTGGTTTCTCAGGCCCTGGATGGCTACAATGGTAATTTAGCTAATTAACTTATGTTTCCTAAGAGCCTGGGCAGCCCTTTCTGTGAGGAAGAGATACAAGTACTTTATGGTGAATAACATAAAATATAATCTCACTTACTAGCATTTACACGCTTATTCATCTCCATGTTATTAAGGTAGAAATTTTACTGCTTCTTGGTGCTGTGGTGAGCATGACTTGATCCAGTGTCCTCAGGGTCCTGCCTTCCTAGAATGATTAAAAGACCCTAAGTCTAGCCAGATATGGTGACAAATGGTTCAGTCCCAGGAGGAGGCAGGAGTATCACAAATTTTCTAATCTAAAGCCCCGTGTGGTGGTACATATCTGTATTCCCAACACTCAGGAGGCTGAGGCCGGAGGATCTTTGTGAGTTAGACACCAGCCTGGGCTACAAAGTAAGCTCAAGGCCAGCCTGAACTGCATTGTGATCCCCTGTCTCAAAAAGACAAAAAATTGTTGTCTAGGAAAATTTGGTGAGACTCTGTCTCACTAAATAAAAAATAAAATATAAAGGGCCTGGAGTGTAGATACCTGGGGCCAGGGTAGAGCACTTGTCTAACATGTACAAGGGGCCCCACATTCAACACAGGTATATGCCACCATGCCTGGCTTTTTTTCCTTTTAGGACTGGGTCTTAAGTTGCTAAATTATGCAGGCTGACCCCAAACTCATGGTGATCCTCCTGTCTCAGCCTCCTGAGTGCTAGAATAATAGGCATGTGCCATCATGCCTGGGGAAGGGGAAGCTTTATTGAGAAAGTTTTACAAACTTGGAAATTCTAAGATTGTTTTAAAATCTTAAAAAAAAAAACCAGGGCCATATCCAGCACTGCCCCCTGCCAAAAAAATTCCCAGACATTCCTTTAAAAGATATAAAATATAAGCTGAGCATGGTGGAACACACATGTAACCCCAGTACTTGGGAGGCTGAGGCAGGAGAATCACCAGGAGTTTGAGGTTATCTTGGGTTACATAATGAGTTTAAAGCCAACCTCAAGTACATAGAAAGACCCTGTCTCAAAAGCCAAAACAAAACAAAACAAAAAAACCCAATAAATATCAAAAGTGTTGCAAAGTCACAATTTGTCCACTTTGCCATCTGGTGGCTGCTGACTAGAATGTTCCTTGTTTTGCAAGATTTTTTTTTGTTTTTGTTTTTGTTTCTGGTGCTGGGGATCAGACCCTCAACCTTCTAAATGCTAGCCAAACTTCTCTGTGACTGCGCCAGCCTCGAGGCTCCAACTGTGTAAGTTTCAGGTCTTCTATTTTAAAAGTCTATTGAGTGCGGACACCCAAACATTGAAATTTATCCTGTTGGGACACAGGTGTGGTCCACTGAGTGTGGGATATTATGGGAGGTCATGACACCCTAGAGCACCTGGCCCCAGGAGATGGAGACAGAGGATCCAGGGCCCAGGAGGTTGCAGTCCTCCTGCCTCAGCCTCTCAGAGTGCTGGGATCTCAGATGTGTGCCACTATCCCTGGTGTGCCAGGAGGGCCCTTGTGTTGTGGAACCACAAAAGGCCCGGCGTCTCCACTAAGTTGATAGCTTTGCTTGTATTGGGGTAATAGCTGGTCTGTGACTCAAGCTCTCACCTGAACCCTAGGAAGGAGAGCCCTGAGGGTGAATGCGAATCCCACACCTGTAGGCTGCCCTGGCAGGTCAGCCACATCCATACTTGGAAACAGCCTTTGGGATGGGGTCCAGCTCCGGGAGCAGCCACGCATCTGGTGACCTGTGTTCTGTGTTCCGGAGCCTGGTAGACCCAGAGCACAGCAGGAGCACAAATGAAAGCCTCCCAGGGTGGTCAGGGGATCAGATCAGAGGCCAATCATGGCAGCCCAGTTCTGGAAGTGGCCCAGGAGCCACTCAGAGCCCTCTGGGTCCTGCAGGTACTGCATCCTTACTGTGAAAGAAAGTGCCATTCCCACTCCATCTGTCCTTGAGCCTGGGTGGGCAGGTCAATGCCTCCCAGCAGCCCTGGGACCCAGGCAGTTCCTGGCCACACTAGGGAAGGGCTGGACTAATCTTCCAGCTCCCTATCCGCTGAGAGTCCTGTACTCAGAGGCCCTAGGGCCAGAGTATCCTTGGCCTGGGAAGCAGTAGAGTAGGGGTAGACTGCAGATTCAGGGCAGAGGAGCACATCTTGACTCTTCTTGTCCCTGTGCCCCTGCTTACTCACCACCCTCCACAGTGGCATTCCTGAAGTTGCTAGCAGCCTTCACTCCCTGGTCCTGGCTGGCTCCTGGCGTGTGTGCTGGCTGTGCTCAGAACAGTTTCCTGGATGTCACTGAGATGTGTTTTGAAATGTTTGCAGGCACCATCATGTGCTACGGGCAGACGGGAGCTGGCAAGACGTACACTATGACGGGGGCCACCGAGAACTACAGGCACCGTGGAATTCTGCCCCGTGCCCTGCAGCAGGTAGAGCGGGCCCACGGGTGGGAGGCCACCCAGGTCCCCTTTGTCATACATGCTGCCGACCCCATGCTGGCTGCTGCAGATGGTGGGTCCAGCCCTCAGTGGAGCTGTGACTAGAACAGGCACCAGGGCCCCAGACAGGACTTGTGGCTGAGAGCGGGGTGGGAAGAGGCCTAGGACACTAAGGGACCAGGCTGCAGATTGGCCATGTCCCCTAAGCCATTTCCTCATTTATGAAAAGGGGCAGACAGGCTATCCACCTCCCACTGCTCTGAAGGCCTGCAATCCTGTAACAAGGATTTTGAAGTCTCACTCTTGTTCCTTCCGGTTTTAAAGAGTGGAATATGGGCCCTTTCTGAGCTCCCTGATTTTCATGTGTAGAAGATAGGCCTGCTCTGGCTTCTTCCACCCCATAGCTCCAGAAAGAGCAAGACAAGCTGGGTACAATGGCACACACCTCAGATCGCAGCACTCTGAAAGGCTGAGGCAGGAGGAGTACAAGTTCAAGCCCGGCCGGAGCAGTTCAGTGGCTTAACAAGACACTGGTTCAAAAATTTAAAAGCTAATTCACTCAGTGCAAAGGGCCTGGGTTTAACCCCCGTCCAGCAAAATAAATGAATAAATTAAAGCAATAATAGGGCAAAGGCAAGAAGTAGGGCATGACCTGAGCTCTAGGACCATGTCAGCATGGCCTGGGAAGTGTGACTAGAGGCAGCAGATGGTCCAGAGCCCAGATCTGTGAGGAGTCTGGTTGGAGGTAGGAGGCAAACAGCCTTTCCCCGAAAGCATCTGTAGTTTTTCTTTTGTTTGTTTGTTTGTTTGTTTGTTTGTTTGTTTTTGGTACCAGGGATCGAACTCAGGATCTCATGCTCGCCATGCAGTCGCTTATACCACTGAGCTAAATCCCCAGCCCCACCTGTAGTTCTGACAAGCTCGTTGTATAAGAAGTGTGGCCATCCTCCTAGTATATCCACCACCCATGCTCTGGTTTCTGAGACAAAGGTGGAAACATCAGTATCTCAGCATCTTCGACTTTAATAGTTCAACTCCGTGCCACCTCATTGAAATACCAAGTAAATCACATGCATGATGCTGAGTTTTCTACTAGCCACAATTTAAAAAGTAAAATAAAACCATGAAATTAACTTTCATACCATAAGCCAGGCACGGTGGTGCACGCCTGTAATCCCAGCACTGGGGAGGCTGAGGCAGTAAGATCACTACAAATTCCAGGCTATGCAATTAGGTCAAGGCCAGCCTGAACTATATAGCAAGACCTTATTAGATGATAATTAGTATCACCCAATGAAGTAATAAACATTATCAGTGTTGTCTATGTTGAGTATCATACCAGCCAGACTGCAAGACTTACCATATATTTCCAGATGTTCCCCTGGGATCGGTGACACTGGACGCCTGCTCAGTCCTACGTGGTGACTGCTGTCCACCTCCCACCTAGGTCTTCAGGATGATTGAGGAGCGCCCCACACACGCCATCACAGTGCGCATCTCTTACCTGGAAATCTACAATGAGAGCCTGTTTGATCTCCTGGCCACTCTGCCATATGTGGGCACCTCCGTCACGCCAATGACCATCGTGGAAAACACCCAGGGGATCTTCATTAAGGGCCTGTCGGTCCACCTCACCAGCCAGGAGGAGGATGCCTTCAGCCTCCTATTTGAGGTGAGATGATGGAGTCAAGGGCTTCCTGGCCTGGCCTGAGCTCTCTTTTTCTCTCTTCCCCTCCCCTCCTTCCTCCTTAGGATCTTACTTTGATCATGAGAATGAAGATTAACATGTGCTCATTTAACAAATTCAGCTAGAACTGAAAGCCGGGCATGGTGGTGCTTGTCTGTAATTCTAGAACTTGGGAGGCTGAGGCAGGAGGATAACTGTGAGTTCAAGACTAGCCTAAACTGAATAGTGATAGTGAGACCCTGTCTCAAAGAAAAAAAGATAGCTCCATGTGAAGGCCCTGGGTTCAATCCCCAGTAGTGGGGAATAAAAAGAACTTTTGGAAATGGAAAAATATAATACCCATAACTAAAGAGAAGATTAGGTTCCAGTGTGCTAAGAGAACATGTTGGGGACAGCAGTAAGACATGAATGTCCCACTGCTGCCACCACAAAGGTCTTTTTTCCCTCCAGATGCAAAGGTGCAGTCACAAATCTCCTGAGGCCATCTATGTAATTTGTCCTGAAAAGCAGTTTTATTGATTATCACTTAATTATCATAAAATCTGCTGTTTTAAGTTTGCAATTCCTTGGTTTTTAGTAAATTACAGAGTCATGCAACCATCAGCACAATCCCATTTTAGAAATGCTACTTCAAACAGGGCATTGATGGTACACACTGTAATGCCAGCATTCTGGGAGGCTGAGGCAGGAGGATCACAAGTTTGAGACCAGTCTGGGAAACTTAGTTTGCTTAGCAGGTCCGTGTCTCAAAGAAAAACTTTTTTAAACACTGGTCTGGGGCTGGAGGACAGTACAGAGGCCTTGAGTTCAGTATCACGGATACATACACGCACACACAATGCTGCTTCACCCCCAAGAGTTCCCTGGGCCCATTCGAAGTCACTTCCTGCCCCCTCCCCAAGACAACCACAGCCTTGATCTGTGCAGCTGTGACTGTCACAACATTCTATGCTGGGCTTTTGTGACCCACTCCCTTAGCCTGTCTGCAGGGGATTAGAGGTGTAGCTCAGTAGTGGAGTGCTGCCTAGAATATGCAAGGCCCTGGGTTTGATCCCCAGCACTGAAGAAAAAGGAAAGAAAATTTTTGGTTAATAAATTTAACTATTTTTTAAATAACAACTAACTAAATAAATAATAACAACAAGAAAGCCCTTTTGATTTCCTTTGTGAATCTGAGGGGAAAGCCAAAGATTTCGAAAGAGCTTCTCCAAAGAAGTCCATTCCTAGGGCCTAGATGGGGATCGCTGAGGACTGTCTGGGGCACAGAGGCTACTGGCACAGTCAGAGGCTTTGGCCAGGCCAGCCCAGAGCACTGACCTAGCAGCGCATTCCCCAGGCACCGGAAAAAATGTCAAAACAAAGTGAGGGAAGTCAAGGCCAGGACAAGGGTTTCCTTTGTGTACGGTACGGAGACTAAACCCAGGGTGCTCTACCACTGAGCTCCCCCCCCAGCTCTTTGTTTGGGTTTTATTTTGAATCAGGGTCTTGCTGACTAGTGATCCTCCTGCCTCAGCCTCCATAAGCGGGTGTTACAGGAGTGCACCACTACAGCAAGCCTTGTTGTATGTTCTGCTGCTGTTTTCATTTTGGTGCTGAGAATTGGTGCCAGGGCCTTACCGATGCTAAGCCTGCCTTCTACCACTGAGTCATACCGCAGCCTGCTCTCCTGCTCTCCTAGGAGACCAGCTGGGTTTGTCACCTTTAAGTGGGAGCTAAAGGCTTGGGCAGGTTAGGAGCAGGTGGCTGAGTCAGCTGGCTCCAGGCACTTTTCCAGACAGGAAGAGCCTTGCTGCCTTCTCCTGCTTCAGCCTCTGCAGTGCTGGGATTGCAGGCATGGGCCACCACACTTGGCCCCTATACTTTCTTGCAATCTCAGGCATCCATGAAATAGGCAGCCAGATTCATTGTGCCCTCCACTTCAACTGTTCTGCCATGGAGGGTCTCGCAATACTCAGGCCATTTTTTTGCTGCAAATAAAAGCCTCTTTGTTGTGATTTGGGTTGAAATATAAGATGAAAACTATAGGACCTGGAATCTGGGGGCCTGAGTCAAATCCAGGTTTCATCCTAATCCCAGGTTACTCATCTGTAAAAGCAGAGATGCCAGTTGTGCTGGTCCTGGAAAGTTGTCAGGAGACTAAGGACCAGGCACCCTGGCTCTGGCTCCAGGCCCTGGCACAGGGAGGCCTTTTGCGAGCAGCAATCACTCCTCACACCTAATACCTTCCAGACCCAAGTCCTTGCTCTGGTGGTGAAAGGACAGGGAGGTGGGATAAGGAGGAAACTCCCTGAGGGCAGGGAAGGGAGTGGGCAAAGCTGCTCTGTGCAAGTACAGTTCCAGGAGTGACAGGCATGCCCAGGATGTGGGCCCAGCCCAGGCGGTGTGCAGGTGACACAGTGAGTTTGAGGCCAGCCTGAACCACATAGCAAGATCTTTTCTCAGAAAACCAAAATCAGAACAAAACAAGAGTAGAGATGAAATGAACCTTTGTCCTGGTGGAAAGCGTCACTGGGTGTGTACCCGGGGTAGACAGAGAACAGCACTAGAGTCGTAGCCATGGGAACATGCTTTGCTGGCTCCCCAGTAAGGAGCCCCTTTCCCTAGAGGACAGACAGTCCTGCTCTGGGGCTTGTTCTTCCCATCCCTGGGAACCTTTTAGGAGACAGGAGTCCACTCCACAGGGACTGATTTCCCCACAAACAGCTGTTTTTACCACATTCGCTTTTAAATATATTCTGGTTATAGAGTCCAGACTGTGAATTAAAGACAAGGGACTAGTGGCCCTTTAAGAATACAAATGACGTGTGTTCCCTACATTCTAAAAGCTCAGTGGGCCCCACTTAGCCTGGGGGTCTATGTTCCAAGATCCCCAGCACATGCCTGAAACTATTGATAGTACTGAATCTTATACAAAACCTGGGTTTTTTCCTATGTACATATACCTGTGATAATGTTTAATGTATCCGTTAGATACAGCAATTGGTTAACAACGAAAACTAGTTAAAAAAAAGAACAACAATCATAATATATGATAGAACTGTGGGGGACCGGCAGTGGCTGAAAAGATAAGAAGTATGAAATATAAATGACCTTTATTTTGAGAATGTGGGGAGAGATACCCCGGATCCCCTGGGGTGTAGCATATCAGCGCCCCCCCCCCTCGGCGATCTCTCCATGGAACACGTGGAGTGGAGGCATATAAGTAGCCTCCGTTTGGGGTGGAACCTAAGGGGTCATTAGGGATGCACAGGTAGCCCATTGGTCTTTGTTTGGGGCCATAGGTAAATTCGTAGGGGTGGGGGAGATGGAGTCACAGGTAAATTCCTAGGGGTGGGGGAGATAGGAGCTCCTTGGTTCCGCCTCTAAGGCTTCACCAGCTACAGTGTCCTGTCTGGGCCAAAACTCTTTCAATATACTGTATTAAAATTTACAAATTAGGGTCAGGGATGTAGCTCAGTGGCACACATCTGCCTGGCAAGCATGAGGTTGTGAGTTTGTTCCTTGGTATCAAAAAAAAAAAAAGAAAGAAAGTTATGAATTATTGCATTCAGGAGGCTGACATAGGAAAATGGCGTTATGTGCAAGGTCAGCCCTTGAACTACACTATGAGACTTTGTCTCAAAAAATAAAAAGTCAGGTTATCTTAATATAAACATAAGCCTCCTCTTTTTAGAAAAATTAGGTAACATGTGCATTATGGGAAAATTGATAATGTCAGCAGTAGCCTAACTATCCAAATACTGCAAACACAATATTATACTTGGGTGGTGCATTTCTGGAATCTCAACTCAGGAGGCGGAGGCAGGAAGATCAAAAGTTCCAGGCCAGCCAACCTGTAAAACCAACAGTCTGGGATGCTGAGCCCAGGTTGGGCAACTCAAAATAAAAACTCAAAAAGTGCTAGGAGACCCAGCTCCGTGCAGAGGCTCTTGGTTCAATCCCTAGTACCTCAGAAATAAATAACTAAATAACAAATGAAAAAAATTATCCATAGGCCTTGTCATTTTAATGTTTCAAAATGTTGAATGCATTTCCCTTCTTTAGGGAGAAACCAACAGGATCATAGCCGCCCACACCCTGAACAAAAACTCTTCCAGGTCACACTGTATCTTCACCATCTACCTGGAGGTGAGTGGAGCCCTGGGAAGGTTCGAGGTGCGGATTCCTGTGGGGATCTCCCAATCGGAGCTCGGCTCTGTGACAAGGACCATGCATTGTTTTGTAGGCCCATTCCCGGACTTTATCCGAGGAAAAGTACATCACTTCCAAAATTAACTTGGTGGACCTGGCTGGCTCCGAGAGGCTGGGGAAGTCTGGGGTGAGTGAGGTGCCTGGGTTCTCCTACGCTTGAGCTGCTGCTGCTGTTTGTGCTCTCAGGCCGCCCCTCCTGGGTGGGGGGGGGGAGCTTTGGGAGGACAGAGACAGCAGAGGGGTGGCTGCTAGGGGTGTGACACTTCCCACTCCTGGGAGTTTTCTAAACATGAAACGATGCGATGCCTCCTAAATTCTTAGCAAGGTGCCTGAGACTCAATACGTGTCTGATAACTGCTCCATGCCATGTGACATTTCTCTATCCACGACTATGAGGATTTGCATGAGGCTTTCCCTTGAAACAAGTGTTTGTATGTGTATTAGCACAGGTGTCCACAGAGGGTTCACGTGAGCATGGCCATTCATGTGTGCACCCATGTATAGGCACACACTTGCTCAGCTCTCTGTACAAGTGTTATTAGTCTGTTTATACTAGTGTGCATCTTCGAATGAGGCTCGCTATGAGTGTTCACAGAAGTGTTTGCAGTCGCAGAAGCATTCACACATGTGTTCACACCAGTGTTCCTGTGTGAATTTTAGTGTTACCATTGTTTTGTTTTTTGGGACAGGGTCTTGCTGTACAGTTAGACTGACCTGAACTCACTGGGTAGCCCATGTTGGCCCAGACCTTGTGGCAGTTTTTCCTGCCTCAGCCCCTTAAGTGCTGGGATCACATGCGTGCACAGCCACGCCAGCTTGGTGTTACCATCATTAAACAAAGGTCCTGGAACACGGTCTCAGGACTTGAGCAAGACCCGGGTTCTGGGCTGGAGGCACTGGTGTAGCATCACCCACTTCAGGTGGGCAGCCACTCTCAGTGGGGCAGCCCCACTCTGCCCCAGGTGGAACTGACCTCTGATTTGCAGTCTGAGGGCCTTGTCCTGAAGGAAGCCACTTACATCAACAAGTCGCTGTCATTCCTGGAGCAGGCCATCATCGCCCTCGGGGACCAGAAGCGGGACCACATTCCTTTCCGCCAGTGTAAACTCACCCACGCCTTGAAGGACTCACTGGGTGAGGGTGCGGCTGGCGACCCTTGTAGGGAGGGCCAGGCCTTGTGCAGGAAGTGGGAGTCAGCGGCACTCCCCGCCCTGAGCATGCACAGGCGCGCGCGCGCGCGCACACACACACACACACACACACACACACACACACACCCCTTGAGCATGCACACACTCACACCCCGCCTCTGGGGGTCCCTTCTTGCAGCCAAGACCCACTGTGCTGTTTGTGCCTCTCTTTCCGCTTTCATCTCTGCTGGGAAATCTCTTTCCACTCCTCCACCAGGCTGTAGGATCCTTCACAGCCTAGAAGACTGTTGACAGGACAGGCTCGCTTGTTATTTTCTCCCTTCCTCATTCATTCATTTCTGAGACAGGATCTTGCTGCATATAGTTCAGGCTGATCTTGAACTCTCTGTGTAGCCCAGGCTGGACTCAAACTTCACAGCCATCCTCCTGCCTCTGCCTCCTCCGTGCTGGGATTACAGACATGTGCCTCTGTGCCCAGCACCCTACCCTTACTCTTTCAGAGCAGTAGAGGCTTTGTCTTGTGATCTTCTGTCCCCAAGCATGCGTGCAGTGCTTGTTGACACAGCGGCTGGTTTCTCGCTGTTAGCTGAGTGACTGAATGACATGGTGAGCAAAGCCTTGGCTCACTGTCTTTCTTGGCCCTCCCTCAGCCCACCCTGCACTGTCCTCCTCTGCAGTTCTCTTTGGCTTTGCTTTTAGGGACCTCAGGTGGCTTCTGTCCTTCCCTCTCTCTTTCCCACACTCCAGCCTCACACAAGCTGCAGATCTGTCTCTTGACTCTGACTGCATCAGCTTGGGCGGGCCAAGCAAAGAAGCACAGACTGCCGGGCTGTGCCTCACAGGGAGAGGGAGAGAGGCCCTACTGTGCCCTCAGGGCCTCACCCTGGGGGCCTTTGAGGGTCCTCCGAGCAGCCCCTGTGGCCCCAAGGGGGTCTCTTGGAGAAACTCATGCGGTGTCTTGCTCTCGCAGGGGGAAACTGCAACATGGTCCTAGTGACTAACATCTACGGGGAAGCCGCGCAGCTGGAGGAGACGGTGCGTAGTTACAGCCAGTCCAGGCAGACCAGAACCCCGCCTGGGGCCGACACACTGCCCAGGGCCAGGGATGCACTGGAGCCAGTTCCCAAGGGGTTCAAGCCAGCTCCCAGAGTGAACCCCGAGTCAGGTTGAGGAAGAAAGGAGCAGGCTGGGCAGGAGGACCAGCAAGCCAAGCACACTGATGGCCAACTTGGGGACGAGAAGCTGGCTCCCAGGGCTGTGCCCAAGAACTGGAGCCAGGGCAGCCGAGGGCTTGATCTTTATAATCCCACAGATTTGGGCTGGGGGTGTAGGTTCTGATAAAGTGCAGTGAGGTGCTAGGTTCATTCTCCAGTACTAAAGAAAAGAAAAAACCTCACCTTTGGCTGTGAGCGCTGTGCCCAGTGGCAAAGAGGAAGCAAGTCAATAGAGATAGGTGACCATGGATGGAGAGAAGAGCCTGGCATGGTGGCACCGCCTGTAATCTCAGCACTGGGGAGACTGAGGCAAGATGATCATTGCAAGTTGAAGGCCAGCCTGGTCTACATATTAAAATGTCTCACCAAGCCCCCAAAGAGTTGCCCACTCGCTCCCCTTCTCCCCAGACCCCTAAAAGGGCACAGCATCAGAAGTGAGTCTCCTGGGACCTCCGGTGCCCAGGGGCTCACACCCACATCACTGGGGTTTCCGCCCAGGACCACGAACCCAAAGCTCAGAGGTGTGTGTCTAGGGTGTGGGACAGAAGTATGTGAGGCCTTGTGGGCCAATGATTCTCTTCCATGATTCCAATGATTCAGATTCTCATGATTCTGTCATGGATTGTGTGACACTGTGGTAACTCTGTGTGTGTCTGTGTGTCTAAAGGCACAGTGATGGTGCTGGAGCAGGAGACTCGGAGGTGGCCTATAACAGGGGAAACCACCTGTCATGACAGAGACTTCTTTCTTTCTTCTTTCCTTTATTTATTTATTTATTTATTTTTTATCGGTACCGGGGATTGAACTCACGACTGCCTGCTTGCAAGGCAGGTGCTTATGCCGCTGAGCTAAATCCCCAGGCCCTCTTTCCTTTATTTTTAAAATTTTTTATTATTATTTTATTTTTGGTATCAGGAATTGAACTCAGGGCCTCATGCTTGCCAGGTAGGCACTGCATCACTGAGCTAAATCCCCAGCCCCTCTTCCTTTCTTTTCTTTTTTTTTTCATTTTTAAAAAATATTTTATTTATTTATTTATTTATACTGAGAATCTAACTCATGACCTCATGCTTACCAGGCAGGCGCTAGGCTGCTGAGCTAAATCCCCAGTCACCTATTTATTTATTTTTTAATTTTTAATTTCTTTGGTCCTGGGGATCCAACTCATTACCTCACACTTGCCAGGCAGGCACTTACTCTGCTGAGCTACATCCCTGGCCTCCTTATTTATTTCTTGAGAGAGGGACTCACTGTGTGGCCCAGGTCAGCCTCAGCCTTGTGGGGATCCTCCTGCCTCAGCCTCCCTAGTGTTGGGATTACAGGTGTGTGCCACCACAGCCAACAGATCTCCTTTTACCTAAGTGGTAAGATCTGTCCAACACCAGACTGGCACAGAAAAGTCAGGCAACTCACCTACTTCCACGTCTGCTTCCTCACTCAGGGCCCCTTCACTGACAGTGAGCCCACCTGGAGGAGCTCTGCTCTCCTCAGCCTCTGTGCAGGGCATGAGGCATCTGGAAGTCTCCCAGTTCCCTCTCGCTCCGGCCTTCATTGTCCCTGGCTGGCTGCCCATCCAGAGTGACTGCAGGGAGAAAGAACCCTGGATGTCAGCTTGTGAGCTTAGCGGCCCCACTGTGCAATCTGGAGCATGTCTCCATGCAAGGATCCCCCTTTCTGACCCGTCCTGCACATGCCTCTGCTAGTCAGCCTGACAGGGCCTCCCTCCCATGTGACGGTGAGGTTTTGACCCCGGTTCTGTGCATGATGGCTCAGGGGAGTGGGCGAAATTCAGGCTTCGTCTCCAGAGCAGCATTCCCAGTCCCTGGGGCTGGAGGCTCTCCCAACAGCACGAAAGCACTGCCAGTCCTGCCACCCTTCTGGAAGCAGTTCAGGGCAGTCAGCAGGGAAACATTTGAGTGATTATTTCTTTCCCAGTACTGGGGATGGAACCGGAGCCTTCACAGTGAACTACACCCCCAGACCCACAGGATCTTAGTAAGTTGCCCAAGCTGGACTCCAGATTGTTATCCTGCCTCAGTCTCAAAGTGCTGGGATGGCAGGTGCATGCACACACAGTGCATGTGGTGGGGCAAAATTGAGATATTGTATAAGTTTAAAATATCAGGTTTCAAGCCAGGTGTTGTGGCATACACCTGTATCCCCAGAACTTAGGAGGCTGAGGCAGGAGGGTTATTGTGATGCTAGGAGTTCAAGGCCAGCTTGGGCTACATAGTGAGACCTTGTCTCAGAAAAACAAAACAAGCATATGAAAAAACCCTCAAATTTCAAAGACTAACTATAAAAAAGTAGGCTATCTCAACAATTTTAGAATGTTGATTACTTGTTGAAATCATAATATTTTCAGTAGATAGTATTAGACTGTTTAAATAAGATATATTAAAATTATTTTTACTTGCTTCTTTTTACCTATTCTAGTAAACTACTAGAAAATTCGAAACTAAAGCCAGGCATGGAGGCATGTGCCTATAATTCAAGCACTCAAGAGGCTGAGGCAGGAGGATCTCTTAAAACCAGGAGTTTCGGACCAGCCTAGGCAGCATAAAAGAAAGGAAGGAAGGCAGAAAAGAAGGAAGGAAGGAAGGAAAAAAAGAGAAAGGGAGAGAAAATAAAAGAGGCTGGATGTAATGGTGCATGCCTACAATCCCAGCCACTCAGGAGGCTGAGGCAGGAGGATTGGACATTCGAGATCAGCCTGAGAAATTTACAAAACCTTATCTCAGAAAAAGGCTGGGATTACAGCTCAATGGTAGAGTCCCCCCTAGATTCAATCCTCAGGACTAGAGAAAAAGGAAAGAAGAAATAAAAATATAAAATTGCATATATGAAGCTACTTAGGAGGCTGAAGCAGAAGGAATCCCAAGGTTAAGGCCAGTGCAGACAATTTAGAGAGACCTTGTCTCGAAATAAAATTTTTTTTAAAAAAGTGGCAGAGCTTGTCTAGCTTATGTGAGGGTCTGGGTTCAATCCCTAGTATGACACACATACAGATACACACATGAGTACACATGTACATCTGTGTATATATTGTGAGTAAGACTTGCATTTGTGGGGGCTGGGGATTTAGCTCAGCGGCATAAGCACCTGCCTTGCAAGCAGGTGGTCGTGGGTTCAATCCCTGGTACCGATAAAAAGATTTTAAAAAAAAAAAAAAAAAAAAGACGTGCATTTGTGGTTTGCATTACATTTCTGTTGGATGTGCTGATCCAGACCCAGAGAAGTAGGAGTCCGTAAAGGAGGGCAGGGCCACCCTCCTGAAGGGTGCACAGTGCTTTGTGGAAGGGGCAGAGACACCTCAGGTGGGAAGAACAGAGGGCTTTGGCTGTGTGCAGCTGGGCCTTGGGAGAAAGTGGGAAGGAGAAGGTAGATGAGCTGGGAGGAGAGGGGAGAGGGAGCCCAGAAGTAGAGTGGCTGCAGGTGCAGATCCTCCCATGCAGTAGAGGACCCCGCAATGTGTGTCCTTTCGGCATCTGCCCCTGTCTGTGAGGATCCCACCCCAAGAACCCGTTAATGTTTTTTTTTTTTATTAATGTTCAGCCTTTGGTGCTGGGATTGAACCCACGTGCCAACATGAAGCCCAGGAACAGCAGCCAGCGCCTCTTTCTCTTGGGGCCTCACTGGAGTGGGGAGCCCCCTGACGTCCACTTTGTTTTCCAGCTGTCTTCACTGCGCTTTGCCAGCAGGATGAAGCTGGTCACGACTGAGCCTGCAGTCAATGAAAAGTACGATGCCGAGGTACTGTGGTATGATGCTCCGGCTGTGGACGGCCAAGTCTCCGTGGGGTGATGCATGTGGGGCTTGTTCCTGTGTAGGCATCCAGCTGGGGCAGGAAGGAAGCCCCCAGCCTGCCTGCCTCCTGGCCCTGACCCAGTCCCTCTCTATGCGGGGATAGGGAGGGGCTGCCTATCACCCACTTTACATGTGGGGCCCAGGAACTCTGGGTGCCCTGAGATTTCCTTAGAGCAGGCTGGTGTTTGTGTTGGTCTCTGTGTTTTGAGGCAGGGTCTCACTGTGTAACTCACTGAGTTCAGGTCGACCTTGAACTCACCACATAGCCCTTAGAGGCATCCTCCTGCCTCAGCCCTAGCTCACAACAAACAGCTAAACTTTTCAGATCCAGAGTCCTGAAAGAAAACATGGGTACGTAGCTCTGTGAACCTAATCCAGGGTTCGAGGGGCTGCAGCTGAGAGCAGTGACTTCCAAACCTGAGCTGGATCTGCCTCACTGGGCCAATTCGCTGAGGTCAGGGTCAGTTTCCAGAGTTCCTAATTCTGTCTGTCTAGGGTGGCCTGGGGACATGCGTTTTCCACAGGTTTCCCAACGGTGATGCTTTGGTAGCCACTGTCCTTTGAGATCTGCCGGCACCAAGGTGAAGAACCCTGGCCCTGGTTTCAGGACTGCTCATTAATTGCATATCCTTGGCAAAAAGCCCTGTTGAGCTTGTTTGTTCACTGATAAGTTATAGAATTAATAGAGCCCACTTTCAAAGGGGTTTTGCAAAGAACAGGTCCATGTGTAGAAACCTCTGAATACATTGCCGTCATGGAATAAACATTCAGTAAATATCAACTGGCACCGTCCCATGCCTACAGAGCGGCAGTGGCGCTTTATTTCTTTTTGGCTTTGGTTTTTGGGACAGGGGCTCCCTCTGTGTCCAGGCTGGCTATGAACTCTGGGGTGCTGGGATTACAGTGTGCACCCCTATGCCCACCTGGCCTTGGAGCTGGTCTTACCTTTCATTTGTCAGAGTTCCCTCAGTGTCAGAGTTCCCTCGGTGCAGGACTGTCATGTCATCACCTGTGACCCTGGCCGAGTAGACTCTGCTGGGACAAAGCAAGCCTGCAGGCCAAGGAGAGTAGCCACGGCAAGGGTGGCCCTGCAGCCTGGTGCAGGCCTGAAGCAGGGCTCCGAATGATCCTTATTACATGTAGGAAGCAAACCCTGGCTGTTCGAGGACATACATGCGTCTGCTATTTCTAAGGCATTTTTCCATTCTAACAATGCCCCTGGTCAAATCAAGGAGCTACTTAGCTGGATAGGCTTCCTACCTGTGACCTGAGAGTCTGTGACTCCTGCCAATCGCCAGGGGAAGTGGCTGTCATGTTCAGCAGTGTGAGCTGGAGCCTGGAGGCTGAGCCTGGATGTCAGGGTTTCCCAAAGGCTCAGCTGGATTCCCTGCCCTGGGGCATGATGTACTTTCTAGCGCTGGGAGGAGAAGGACAGGGATGATTGGGCCACCATCACACCTTCCCCCTCAGCCCACAGGAAGTCCACACCTCAGGGAGACCTACATGGGCTTCTACGGGGCTGAGCCAAGAGCTGGTCTTTAATCAGGACTCTGCCCTGCAAGCTCTGGCCTTGGGTTGTGACCCCTCACTATGTGAGAGGGACATAACTGAAGAGAGGTGGACAAGGTACAGAATAGAAGAGAGGCTCATTGCCAAGTGGACAGGGTAGAAGACCATTGGTTTGCCAGGCCAGAAAAATGTGGACTGCACACTGCTTGGGCCGCTAGTTCCAGGATCCAGGTGTCAGGTGTTCCCTGCCATGGCCATTTTATGACAACGAAAGGACACCCCATTGTTCACAGTGAGGGTTCTCAGGATGAAGTCCCAGGATGGGAGACACTGAGTATCTCTAGAACAGTGACGAGGAATCCATGGCATGCATGCCACAGAGGGCTATTTGTATCCTTGAAAGGCCATCACTGCTCTGAAATGTCAGTGTGTTCGCAATTCTGCTTCTGGAAATGTCTCATTTGTTGACTTACCCAGAGCCATGGAGCATGGGCCAGGCGTTTTTCAGTGCACCTGGGATACACAGCTGTGTGAACAGAAACACAAGTCTCTGTCTCAGCTTCCTGTGTGTGCTGGTCAGCTCTCCATCTGCAAGAGATGGGCTGCATGGGGCTGGGGGTTTAGCTCAGCGGCATAAGCGCCTGCCTTGCAAGCAGGCAGTCGTGAGTTCGATCCCCGATAAAATAAGAAAAAAGAAAAAGAAATAAAAAAGGAAAAGGACAAAAAAAAAAAAAAAGAGAGATTGGCTGCAGGCTTAGTGGTGGAGCACCTTCCTTGCACAAGGCCCTGGGCTCAATCCCTATGACTGCCAAACAAAAAATTGTCCAGACATGCAGACATGCCAGAAGGCCAAGACTGTTGTATGGATTTCATGAGTAAGGTGCGCACCATTGCTATAAGAGAGTCCACTTAAAAAGAGGAAAACCAAGCATGGTTGCACACCCTGGGAAGGCTGAGGCAAGAGGATGCCCATGAGTTCCAGACCAGTCTGGAGTCCATAGTAAGTTGAATCCTTGACTATATGTCAAGACCTTGTCTAAAAAAAAAAAAAAAAAAAAAAGGAGGGGGTTCTGGGATTTAGTTCAGCAGCATGAGCACCTACCTGGCAAGTACAAAGTCCTGAGTTTGATTCCTGAAAAAAAAATACAATCACTGCTACTCACACATATGTTTGTTGTTGTTGTTTGTTTGTTATTTTTTGAGACAAGGCCTTGCTGTGTAGCCCAGGCTGGCCTTGAACTCACAGGTGATCCTTCTGTCTCAGCTTCCAGAGAGCTGGTATTATAGTTGTCTACCACCATGCCCGCAGCAAGTGGCTATTTAATATTAAACCCAGCCACAATAGCCATCCTTCCGAGCATTTGCTGGCTACATGTGACTCTCAGCCACCATACCAGCCAACATAGATATCCATTCTCATTGCAGAAAGCTGGTTTAGAGGAAGTTACAGGGTAACACACAGTATGAGAAAATCAGGGTGAAATTTTAGAAAATGGTGGTACCGAGGGAAGAAGGGGATTGCAATCGTAGATCTGGTAACACGAATACACCTAATTTAGAAGGCTTTTATTTAGTTAGTTATTTTTTCTGTACTGGAGATTGAACCCAGAATATTTATAGTGAGTTACCTCACCAACCCCTTACTTAATTTTTTTAGACAGGGTCTCACTAAAACCTAAATTGTGACCCTCTGGCCCAAAGCCTCCCAGAGTGCTGGGATTACAGGAGGGCACTACCATGCCCTGCTTTAATTGAGTGAAGATTTTAAGGGAGTTTGGGCATAAACTGTGGTAATGGGGAAGCAGCCTCCTGGGCAGAGGGGACAAGCATGCAGGGGACAAGTGCTCCAGTCTGGTGGGTCTAGAGTGGGCCAGTGGAGCACAGGGGAGAGGAGGTGTGGGGACAGAGGATTAAGCCTCATAGGTCAGCCTGCGGAAATCTGTAGGGGAGAGAAGTCCAGTAAAACATGTTCTCACGGCATGGTTCACAGCAGCAGAAAATCAGAGGGGATGCGTGTGGTCACTGCTGGAGAATGGTGAAAGGCAGGAAAGGTGCACAGAGAGCACCCAAGGGTGGGCGGCACATGCCTGTACTCCCAGCTCCTTAAGAGGCTGAGGAAGGAGAGTTGAAAATTTAAAAGCTAGTCTTGGCAAGTTAGCAAGACCTAGTCTCAAAACAAAAACCAGAAAAGAAAGTATGCTGGAGCCCTTAGGCTGTAAGGAAAAGGCCATCATTTGCAGGATCTAGGAGGAGCCTGGAGACTGCAGGGGATTAAAGTCCTCTCCTCTTTTCAGAGACTGCACCCAGGGGCCCTCTACCATTGAACTCTCCCTTTTTTTATCTTTTACTTTTTATCAGGTCTTGCTGTGCTGACCCATACTTCTCCTGGCTCAGCCTCCTAAGGTGCTAGGATCATAGGCGCTTGTCCCCAGACCTGGCTTTGTTAGTGAAGTGGCTCTGTAGCCTGCTCTGTCCCTGTCCCCTTGGGAGCAAGTGGGAAAGGCCTGGTCCCCTCGGGCCCCAGATACTTCCCTCTTGGGGAAGATGTAGAGTGCTGAGCATGGGCCCAGAAGTCACGAGCATAGACTGCCCAGGGTGTCTAAGCACAGACACAGGGAAGAGGGGCCACCTCTCTGTTCACCTCCCCACCCTTTGTGTTTCCTGGCAGCGAATGGTCAAGAACCTGGAGAAGGAACTGGCATTACTCAAGCAGGAGCTGGCCGTGCACAACAGCTTGGTAGGGGGGGAAGGGAGGGCAACTGCGGGCACAGAGCTGGGAACCCCCGCCCTCAGCTGATACTATGGCCCCAAAGGCCCCTGTGGTCTGTTCAGTCTCAGCTGGCAGAGCCTTGGGGTCCAGAGTACCAGCCCCCTGTCCTACAGCCTTCCTTTTTCTCCCTACCCCATCGTGTTCTGACCTGGGCCCCTGGCTTCTGGGTCAGGTACTGTCTGCCAGGACTGGAAGCTGAAGCAAACAAAGACTGCCCTGGCAGCAGAGCAGCCCCCAGTCTGGCTGTCGGGATGTCCCCTGCATGCCTGCTTGGGCTTGGGGTTTCCCTGCTTATCACCAGGCTCTCTTCCTCTTCCTCCAGTGCAGCCGCCCTGTGGTGACCTACGACCCCATGGATGAAGTCCAGATTGCTGAGATCAACTCCCAGGTGCGGAGGTACCTGGAAGGAACTCTGGAGGAGATCGACGTAAGGAGCCCTCTGTGGGGCTGTTGCGCCCAGCTGGCCTGGGGCTCTCAGGCCCTGTCCCGGCCACACCCAGTGTGTATGCTGCTGATTGAAACCTGGCACCAAGTGGGGACCGTGGCGGGGGGTAGTGCTGGCCCCCTGGTGTCAGGATCCTTTTGGCCACCCTGGTCTCAGCTTCCATATTTGGGGTTCCGAGGCTTCGGGTTGTATGGCGCAGCCATGAGGTACAGGAGGAGCTGACTCACAAAGTGGAATCCCAGCATGATTGCCTCCCTGCCAGAGTCCTGGGGGGAACCCTCAGCCCTTCAGGGACCTCCCATGTGTAGCAGCCAAGGAGCAGCCTGGCGAGGGGCAGCTGCTAGAGGCCAGAGGTCAGGCTGGCTGTCTGCAGGGAGGACCCCAGGGTCCATGGTGGAGCAGGTTGAGAACAGGGAGACGGAAGACTCCTCAGGGGGAGACACTTTTCTGTGTAGGCCATGAAAGCCCTTGCCAGGAAGCCACATGGGTCACCCTGGCTAGAGGTTCAAAGTCAGGCTGACTACAAAGGTGGGCTCTGTGGCCTCCCAATCAGGGGAGCCTCAAACTGGCCCTCAGTTGAGGGCAGTGCTTGTAGGCTTTAGGGCCAAGAGAGAAACCAGTAACCTTTCTCTACAGATGTGTATGCACGTGTGTGCATGTGTGCCTCTGTGGGCTCCATCTGCAGATGGCAGACTGAACTTTTTAGAAGCAGGAGAGAGCCAATTAAATAGATTTTGTTCAATTTTTTTACCTTAGAAAGTATTTTCAAGAAGTAGAGATCTGCACTTAGGAAAAGCGGTTTTCGCAGCCCCAGCAAGTACTTCACAGGAAAGCTGTCCGTCGGGGACTTTTCTGCGCTAGAGAAGGCATGACCACCTCTGCTGAGAGCTGGTCTGCAGAAGCCCATTCTCAAGGCAGAGGCCAGACCTCTACTAACAGATGCAGCCTCCAGCGGCAGGGGCAGTGTCCTGACTTCTGCCTTGCTGTCTTCATCCTAGATAATCAGCCTGAGACAGATCCAGGAGGTGTTCAACCAGTTCCGGGTGATTCTGAGGTGAGGGGTTCCCTGGACCCCTCCCCACTCCTTCCCCAGGCTGCTGTTTTCCTTTCCCAAGCCCTGGGTGCTCACCCTAAAAACACCCCTTTCTCTCTTCTACCGGGAGCCAGATCTGAGTCCTGGGAGTGCACCTTGCTCCTGGGGCTCACTGGGCCTATCGGTAGGACAGGAAGTCTGTGGCACCCCAGCCCTGTGTGGGCCCCAACCAGGACCTTGTGGCTCTTCCCTGCCTTGCCCTCAGGGGGCAAGGTTGATTCAGGGGAAGATGAGCACATACCCCAGCAGCTCTTGCTGAGTGGTGCACTGAAGCTGGTGGCACCATTTCAAGGGGTCTCACCCAAAAGACCTCTAATCCTAGTACTGGTTCCTGCCCCCTGGGATCAGTGCAGCCTGCAAGCAAAGTGTTTTCTCTTCATCTCCCCAGTCAACAAGAGCAGGAAGTGGAGTCTACCTTACGCCGGAAGTACACCCTCATAGACAAGAACGACTTTGCAACCATTTCCGCCATCCATAAGGTGCACGTGCTGCCTCTTGCAAGCAGCACTCGCTCCAGATTCCCCATCCGCAGCCCTCTGTGGGGGCAACAGGTGTCATGCATAAAACCAGAGCTGGGGAACAAATCACCCTGGAACCGAAAAGTGCTTTCCATGAACTGGAGATGTGGCTAATAATAAACGAGACAGTTCCCGGAATTAGGCTGGAAACGGGTCTTAGGATCCTTGGGGATGGATGAGTAGGGAGGTGACCTGGAGAGCAGCCATTTGTTCCCAGGTCTTGGCATGTGAGGTGTCTGCTCCATGATGTGGACAGAACCCTGAGTGTCACCTGAGGGACCCAAAATGTTCATCTCACCTGTGACCCCTGACCTGCTTCACTGTCTAGGCAGGGATTGTGGATGCTGACGGCCACTTAGTTGGTGAGTCTGACGGGCAGAGCTTTGCGTTTGGGATCATCCCTTTCTCTACCAAGCCTGGGAAGAAAGCCAAGGCCAAGAAGATCTTCAAAGAGCTGAGGTAACTAATGTCCCTGCTCTGCCTGCTTGGCACCAGCCTCCCCGGTGAGTGGAAAGGAAGACACACACTGTCCCCCAACACCCCTGGTGCAGCCGTGTGGCTACAGTGAACATCACTAACTCTGTAGGGCCTGGCTGGGGTCTCAGCCTCACAGCAGCCCTGGGAGATGGGAGCTGATGTCTCCACAGGAGAAGCCACGACCACTGAGGGGGTGATGTTGCAGGGAGGACCTCATCCTTTGGTACCTCAGGTGGCACCCGCCCCTCACCACAGTCCTTTCTGGCACTCAGTCACCTATGCCCCCAGCTCACCTTTCAGACAAGACTTGTCACACATGCAAGGTGGGAACAATGGTCAGGGTCTCTTAGTGAGTGCTCACCCTGCACCCCCAAGGCAGTGCTGCAGAGAAGGAAACGAGGGTGCAAGCTGTGAAGGGAGACTGGTCTCCCCCCATTGCTCTGTACCTAAAACACCCAGAGGAGCCATAAGAGCTGTCCCTCAAGTGGGAGCAATAATGACAGCCTGAGAGTGACTGGAGTGTCATGAGGATCCATGAGTCAGTGCTGTCCCTCCCTGCACCTAGCCCAAGTGGCTTGCGGAAAACCGTCACATGCAGGCAGGTGTCAGGGGGCAGAAGATGCTAGCTGCCTGCTGCCTCCTCGGGAGAGCCAGTCACATCCAAGCCTCTCTGTCTGGCCAGCTTTTCCAGGAGCTGAGTTGACACTGACACTGACGCAGGTGGGAAGCATGGGACCTTGACTGGTCACAGCCCCAGGGAAGACTCCTCCCATTTTACCCCTGGACCACAGACTGATGCCCCTCTGGGCAAGAGCTCTGCTAGGACTTCCCAGGAACACCCATGTGACTAAAGCCTCAACTGCCCTGGGGGCACTGGTAGCCTGCAGCCTGCTCCACAGGGCCACTTGCTTGAAGGCTGAGGAGACTGTGTCAACCTGCCCACGTCTGCGGACCCTGCAGGGACCCTGTCCTGGTGAAGAAAGAAAACCTCTCTTCTTTCCTGTTTGCATGGCTCGAAGTCACACTCTGCCCAAGGACATGGTCGTGATAGGAGCTGCCAGTAGTGGGGGCTTTGCTTGGCACAAACAAAAGGCCCTAGTGTCACCCACAAAGCCAAAGCAAAAAGATACAAGCTGAGGGAGTGGGGTTCCCTTTCCTTCTCTTTCAGCTCCTCACTGAAGAAGGAAGGTGGCAGCAGCCCTTTGAGTCTCAAGGACCTGGACACAGTCTCCACCTCTAAAACCCAGCTGGTCCTGCCTGTCAAGGAGGTGGATGTCAAGGACTCGGCTTCCCGGGAGAGGGAAACCTCCAACATCGAGCCTCAGGTGTCTAGTTCCCCAAAGGAGGAGCCACGCCCGCCCAGGTAACCATCAGCAGGGGCTCCTGCACCAGAGCAACCCAGACAGAGTGTAAGCCTCCGTGTGGAGCCTAGTGCAGCCAGAGAGATGGGAAATAGGGGGCAAGAGTAAAACTCCATGTATGTCCAAAGATGACTTAGACACACACAAAAGGATTCAATCATAGCGATCATCCAAGGCACACAATTCAACATGGAATTTAGACCCCTCCTCGTGGCAGTTACTAAAATAAAGTTATATGTCTTTTACATAAATAAGCAGTGAAAGTACCACATTCTCAAGGTAGGAGTGTAACTTCTTCCTTTTCCTCCATCCATCTCTCTAGTGACTTAATAATTGAGTTTTTGGGGCTGGGGATTTAGCTCAGCGGCATAAGCACCTGCCTTACAAGCAGGCAGTCGTGAGTTCGATCCCCAGTACCGATAAAAAGGAAAAAGACAAAAAAAAAAAAAAAATTGAGTTTTTGAGAATCCAGTCTAAGGACGCAGAGGTATAGACAAGATTTATACAAAAAGATGTTCATTTCAGTGTCAACTGAAAAATTAATTGTGAAAAGCTGAGGCAGGAGGATCTCCACGAGTTGACGAGTTGGAGGCCAGCCTGGGCTCCAAAGTGAGTTCAAGGCCAGCCTCAACTACATGGTGAGACGCTGTCTTAAAAAAATTAAAAAACACTTCAAACACCTTCAATAGGTGACATTGGAGAAAGGGTGTTAAGCAAAGTATCTGACCTTCATGCAAAGGTGTGTATGAAGAATAGCTTCCCCAGCCCATGTGTATTTCAGATATTGACACAAGTTAGGTTGTGTAGTGAGCCAGACACTCGGTACACATCTGGAATCCCAGCACTTGGGAGACTGAGGCACAAGGGTCACCATTAGTCTGAAGCCAACTTGGGCTATGTGAGTGAGCTCAAGGCCAGCCTGCACTACAAAGTAATATCCTGTCTCAAAAAAAAAATAGTTTTGGTGCATTTCAAAGTGAGTTGCCAACATCAATCTGCATCCTCTCATCCAGTACTTCATCTTATATCACAGTAACTAGAATTCTTGAAGAGATGATAGCATGAAAGGATTTCTCTGTGAAAAAGTAAGATGTAAAATTATATATACTTCATGGCCTCAGCCATTTAAAAATCTATCAGCTGGTTTGGTGGTGTCTGCCTGTAATCCCAGCTTTCAGGAGGCTGAGGCTGGAGCATCACTACAAGTTTGAGACCAGCCTGGGCTACACAGAGTTCAAGGCCAGCCTGGACTATGTAGTGAGACCTGAAAAAAACAGATAAAGAAAAAAGAACCTTGTCTTAGTTATTTTTTATTGGTCTCAGTGACCAATTTTTTATTGGTCACTGAGACCAATAAAAAATAACCAATATCTGATGTCCATAATTGGGAAAGCAAAGGTTTATTTCTTAAAGTTTTTGGAGGTTTTAGTCTATAGTCAATTGGCTCCAAGGCAGGGTGGCATGGCGGGGCCACAGTTCATGGCAGCTGCAAACAGCAAGTCAGAAACCTGCAAGAGAGCAAGACACACCTTCCTGCCATTACGTTGCATGCTGGTTCCACCCCTAGGCTGGTGTAGCACTCACACCTCCAATCCAAGCGCTAGACAATGAACCATCACAAATGCATAATGCAAAGACGTGAGACTTGGGGGCCACTGACATAAACCATGACATTTTACCCCTGGCCCCGAAAGACTCATGTACATCCTTTATACCAAAGACATTTAGTCCTTCTCCAAGAGTTGTCAAAGTCTTAACATTTTTAGCATTATTGAGAAGTCTAAGTTTTAAGATTTTTTTGGTATCTGTGGCAAACTCTTAACTGTAACCCCTTGTATAAATGAAACAAGGTTAAACATTTTTGAAATGTAAAGGCACAAGATAAACATTATCATTTTAAAAGTTACAAACAGCGGAATATAAAGCATTGGAAACAAAGTAAGTCCAACATCTAGCAGATTGAACATTAAGTTTTAGACTTTTATGTTCAGCATTTGACGCAATCTGGTTGTAAGCTCTAAAAGGCTTGGGTGATTTTATCCCCATAGCACTTTTAGGAATATCAGCTCTCACAACTTTTTTTTTTGTAAACTTCTCTGTTTACTTTTTGTAGCTTTTTTTGGATGATGTAAGTTTTTGGCTTTTTTGGGGTCTCTATTGTATCTTTGGCTTTATCTTTATATCTTTTTTTTTTTTTTTTTTTTTTTTTTTTGTCTTTTTCCTTTTTATCGGTACCAGGGATTGAACTCACGACTGCCTGTTTCCAAGGCAGGCACTTACGCTGCTGAGCTAAATCCCCAGCCCCTTATCTTTATATCTTTATAAATTTGTGTTTTTAGGGGCACACTGTTTTGTCTTTCAGGCCCTTTGTAATTGAGCAAGAAGCCATCTTACCCTCAGAATTTATGTATATTTTTGCATCTAAAATCAGTGCCATGTGGATGTCACCAAGGTTTGCTGCCAGCTGGAACAGTAGCCAGGCTTTTTTTTTTTTTTTTTTTTGGCTATAGAGGTCAATTGCCTGGATCACTGGGCTCTGTGCTCTGTGAACCTGATTGTGAAGAAAAGTTTTTTTATGTTGTTGCCATTTTGGAACCTCATGTGGCCTCTGTTGCCATTTTAGAGCATGGTACTCTGTAGCTTTTTTTTTTTTTTTTTGGAGCAAATTTTTTTACTTTTAACAATCAAAATCTCAGTTTTATCTTTATAATTTATAGCTTTACTAGAGTTTTTTTAAATGAATAAACTCATTTTAAATTATCCTGGTGAGCTTTTTGCTCTCGATTTGTAACGTATCTGGCTAAAAGCCCCCAACAATAGCCATGCCACAGCCTCAACATTTGACTACCTTGAAATTTTTTTTTGCCAGATTAGTCAATCTATTGTCTTTAATCTCAGTGTCAGGCAGTCTCTGGGCATGAGCAAAATATAGACAAACTTTCTGCCGAGCCATAACACACATCATGGGGAGTCTAAGAACCAATGCAGTCCTTATTCCCAGAAGAAACCTCCCAAGCCTGGTCTTTGACATCAGGCTTTTTATCAGCCTTTTGGTCTCTTGAGCTCTGACCAGAATCTCTTTTATAGAACAGCTTAAGCTGCTCTAGCTCTATGCATTCAGGTGACACATGTGAACCTTTTCAAACTCTGCCCACAAGCCATTTTTAAAGCCTCTCGAAAAACATGGTCAGATATAGTCACAGCAATGGCCCCACTCCTGGTGCTGAATTCTTAGTTATTTTTTACTGATCGCTGAGACAAAATACCTGATGCCCAAAGTTGGGAAAGGAAAAGTTTATTTTTTATAGTTTTTGGAGGTTTTAGTCTCTATTCAGTTAGCTCCAAGGCAGGGTGGCATGGCAGGGCCGCAGTTCATGGTGGCTGCAAACAGCAAGGCAGAAACCAGCAAGAGAGAGATGCACCTTCTTCCTGCCATTATACCACATCCTGGCTCCACCCCTAGGTGGATGTAGCACTGACACCATCAATCCAAGTACTAGACAATGAACCAATCACAAATGCACAATGCAAAGGCATGAGGTTTGGGGGCCAGTGACATAAACCATAACAAACCCCCACATGGAGATATAGCAAAGAAGTGTGGGTGCCAACAGATAATGAGTGGGTTTGTGTGTGGCCTGTGTCCTACCTTTGCTGTCCTCATTTTCTGCATCAGCCTGTGTCCTTGTGGGCTGGGTAAAGTGAAAGCGGGGAATGATGGGCCTTAGCTCCGGCCTGGGGTAGGGCAGTAGGTGGTACCCAGGATGTTGGCCTCCTGCCCACAGAAGCCCCAAGGAAGAAAAACAAAGTAGCCATCACCTGCAAGACTGCCACCTGCTTGTCTCCTCCTTGGCCTCCCCTCTGTCCCCAGGCCCAGCACCCCGCCCCCCAGGAGTTTGGCCTTTGAAGATTTCAAGAACGAGCGAGGTAGTGAGATCAACCGCATCTTCAAAGAAAACAAGGCCATCTTGAATGAACGGAAGAAAAGGGCCAGTGAGACCACGCAGCGCATCAATGCAGTCAAGCGGGAGATTGATGTGACTAAGGAGGCGCTGAACTTCCAGAAGTCACTACGGGAGAAGCAAGGTGAAGGTGCTAGGGTCTCAGGGTCACCTGGCACCAGGGGGCCAGACTCGAGCACTAGAGACAGGAGGGGCCAGCAGAGAGCACTGGGGTGCAGCCTTCACCCCTGGGTCACCACAAGAAGCCCTGGGGGAACCAGTAGGCCAGGGACACACTATCAATGCCGCACTGCCAGTCCTGACCTCTGTTGCCTGTGCTGGCCTGAGGGCAGAGCCCAGGAAACAGGACAGACGCGGGAGAGGTTGTGCCGAACCTGTGCCAGGCCAGGTCCTCTGGGAGGGCACCTGGCAAGGGCCCAGCAAGGCCTCCTTACCCTCTGCCCCTCTGTGAATATTCAGATCCTTGTGATGTATTGAAAACAAGTGCATGCACACTATTCTGATGTGCACTCTGTTCCTAAATAGACCTGAAACAGACATTTCCAAAGGGTGAGAAAAAAGGAAATATATAATTTTAAATATATATATATATATTTTAAATTGTGTCATCTTGGCATGGTGGTGCATGCCTGTAATCCCAGCACTTGAGAGGCTGAGGCAGGAGGATCGTTGCAAGTTTGAGACCAGGCTGGGCTACAAAGTGAGTTCAAGACCAGCCTGAACTGCATAGCAAGACCCTGTCTCAAAAAGACAAAAAAAATTGTATCTATCAATATAAAAATTGTTTCTGGGTCTTTCCTCTCAAAAGTTTTAATCCACTGTTATAAATAAGGAGCCCCGTACAAGGGCCCCATTTTTCTACCCAGTGATGGAAGTTCATGTATATAGTTTTTCGGGGGGTGGTGGTGGCTTGAGACAGGGTCTCACTATGTTGTCCAGGCTGGCCTTGAACTCGTTGTGTAGCCCAGGCTGGCCTGAAACTCATGGTTGTCCTTCTGCCTCACTCTCCTGAGTGCTGGATTATAGGTATGTGCCAACATACCTGGCTTCATGTATATAATTTATATCAAAACACATTATATAATAGGGTTACTTAATAAGTATCTTCAGCTAAGGCTGGGTGTGGTGGTATATGCCTATAATTCCCACACTTGGGAGGCTGAGGCAGGAGGATCTTCACAAGTTCAAGCCTACCCTGAACTGCACTGTGAGACCCTCTCTCTAAATAAAAAAGTCAAAAAAGTGAATATCATTGGCTAATAGACTTAACACCAAAATAAGCATGGCACATGGCCATCTCCACCTCCCTCTGCTCATTCAATAAGGTGCTGCTGCTGTGAGCTGCCCTCCCTGAGGACATGCCCTGACGCCTTATCCTTTTTGTGCTCTGGCCACCTCCTTGCCTGCGCCAGCCCTGCCTCCAGTCCCCTGTCCACCCCAGGGGCTGCCTCCTCCTTGTATTTTTTGGTACCAGGAATCGAACTCACAACCTTCCACTTGCCATGCAGGCACTGTGCCGCTGAGCTACACCCCCAGTCCCTGCCCCTCCTCACTGTGATCTCCTCCCTACTCCACCGCAGGCGAGTATGAGAACAAGGGGCTGATGATCATTGACGAGGAGGAATTCCTGCTGATCCTGAAGCTCAAAGACCTCAAGAAGCAGTACCGCAGCAAGTACCAAGACCTGCGTGACCTCAGGGCTGAGATCCAGTACTGCCAGCGCCTGGTGGATCAGTGTCGCCAGCGCCTGCTCATGGGTGCGCAGGCTGAGAAGGCTGGTGACCCCCAGGCCAGGAGAGAATGGGAAGGCCGCAGCCTAAGGTCCAAGTGTCCCAAGAGCTGCCCAGGCATGGGAGGAGGGGTGGACAGGGCTTCAAGTGTGTGGCTTGCAGGCTTAGGGGTAAATATGGAGAAGAAGGTGGAAACTCTGGGGCAGGAGATGAACGGGGGAGCCTGTAACAGGTACAGAGCAGATGGGTTCATGGCCATTTTCTGCCCCTTCCCGGGGGCTCCCCTCCTCACAGTGCTGTCTCCCTCCACCTGGCAGAATTTGACATCTGGTACAACGAATCCTTTGTCATCCCCGAGGACATGCAGGCGGTGATGAGCCTGGGTAGCAGCATCCGGCCGGGCATGGTGCCTGTTAACAGGGTCGTGTCTCTGGTGAGCAGCACAGGGGTGGGCACGGACCAGCAGCAGCACCCCTCGTCTTGGAATCTTGTCCCCCCACCTTGGCAGTGCAGGTGGATTCTCCAGCCTGTGGTGCAGGCAGAGCCAGGGACTGGTTACTGGCAGACATCACTCTGGCCTCTCCTGACCTCCCGAGGTGGCTCATCCTGCCCAGGTGGCAGCTCCTGGGGTGCGTGGGGAGCCTGACACATTCAGGGGCTGTAGGACTGCGAGATGCCGTGGGCATAACCTGACAAGGTTGGGCTGATGGGACCGTCCTGGGCCGGGCCTCACCCAGGGAGAAGATGACCAGGACAAGTTCAGCCAGCTTCAGCAGACGGTGCTGCCCGAGGCGCCTGACTCCATTCCCTTCATCAACGCCAAAGTCAAAACAGAACAGAAGGTAACTGGGGAGGTTCTTGTCACAAGAGCACAGGGAGTCAGGGAACTCATGACCGGAACCCCCCAAATCTTGCGCTCTGCTCCGAGAGGTCAGGGTTGGCTGGGGCCTGCCGGGGAGATCCAGGCTAGGATAGGCTGGCAGAGGGGGTCTTGGAAACCCTGGCCACATGTGGTTCACAGCTGACAGCAGGGCCCCAGGGTCCCCTGAGGCCACTTTTCTGTCAAGCAGGACCGGGCATGAGCCACACATAGCAGCAGCCACGATGAGCCGGTGGGCAGGAGCAGGCAGACTCTGTTCCTGTAAGGCCCTGGCTGGCACCAGAGCCCAGCAGTCTGTGCCCTGAGGCAGCTTTTACATAGCAGAGACTTACAGGGCAGCCCTGAGGGAGTTCATTCTTTTTAAAACACTTTTTATAAACTAGGCATAGTAGAATGTGCCTACGGCCTCTACCCCTGTACTTGGGAGGCTAAGACAGAAGCTCATGAGTTTGAGGCCAGCCTGGGATATAGTAAGATTCGGTCTCCTCTAAAACTTGGTTTTGGTAGAACGTGCATGTGCTCTGTCACTGAACTATAGTCCCAGACTCCATGATGAATTCAGTTTTTTGTTTGTGACACATGTTTTTTTGCAGTTACAAGGGGGTCCAACCTAGGGCACTCTACTACTCACCTACAGTCCACAGCCCTTGTTATTTTGTTATTTGCAATACCAGGGATTGAACCTAGACCTTCCGTTAAGGTATATGCTGCCGCCTCTTAAATGTTTTTATTTCGAGACAAGGTCTAAATTGCCAAGGCCATGCACTAACTTTTTACGCAGTGTGGTACTTGAACCATTTAAACTTTGATGCATTTATTTAGTCGTATATGAGATATATAGGATCAGATTTTTCAAGGTCAGAAATCTTCCTATGTTGATTTAGCGCAGCAGATCAAGCCTGGTAAGCACAAGGTTGTGAGTTCAATTCCTGGTACCAAAAAAAAAAAAAAAAAACCTTCCTATTTTGTGGAATTGGTCATGGTGGCTTTTATGTGTGTGTGTGTCTGTGTGTGTGTGTGTGTGTGTGTAATATAAGAACACTAAGGTGAACATGAGGGACACACAGTTCCTCAGTTCCTGTTTACTCCACATCTCCTGATCAATTCCTCTTCTCACTCCTTTTCTTTGTCCAGCAAAATTACTTGAAAACCATGATGGGCCTCCAGCAGGCCCACAGAAAATAGTAGCATCACGAATCCCTGGAGGGGCCTTCAACTCCAGCTGCTGTAGGGGAGCCGAGAAGCACCTGCCTGAGCTCCGCCTACCTGCTCGGGACTGCAGCTGGGGAACTTGTGGTAGCCCGCATGCCGGGAGGGGCGTCCTGTGGCCCACCCATGCTCACCTCAATTTTGATTTGCTGTCTTACATGCACGGACAGGATAAAATCACTTTCTGGTTTGAACTTTTTAGTGTTAATCCAACAACTTTGTTTTATTTCCCATCTGAAAGGACATCTTTCCCTCTGAATGGGGTGGGATTAGAACTGAGTTTTTATTTCATTTTATTTATTTTTTGGTACCGGGGTCGAACTCATGATCTCACACTTAAGCCACTAAGCTAAATCCCCGGCCCCTAGAACTGAGTTTTTAATAGGAAGCAAAAGAATAGCTTAGCCAGGCTCTCTTCAGCCCTCCTCCCTCCCCAGCTCCAGGAGCGCTTGGTCTCAAGCGTCCTGCTTCCCATAGCACCCACAGATCATCCATTCTCTAGGGGCATCTTTTCTGTGTCTTTGAGCCAGGCAAGGCAGCAGGAGGCCCTCCTACCTTGGCAACCACCCTGGAGAGGAATATGACCCATGCCTGGCAGCAGGTCAGGATAGGAATGGGGTGCTGCTGCTGTGGGTGAACAGGGAAGGGAAGACTCTACTCCCCATTCAAGTTCTCGTGCAGCTGTGCACTCAGTCACATGAAAGGGAAAGAGCTGACCAACTGCTTTGCACTGAAGACAAGCCTCAGGTCTCTAGTGGCTTCCAGGATGGAGGAGGCATCCCAGGATGGGTGACACAGTCTCTTTCCGGCAAGTGAGGTATCAGGGCTTCCTTGGAATCTGATCTCTCACACCCACTTCTGTTTTTGTAGAGCTCACCGTGGCCTTAAGCCCTCTCTGTATGCTTCACCTGTGCTGCCGGGATTGGGGACAAGAGGAGGCCTGGTCACCTGGAAGCCTGTTACTTTTCTGTAGTTGCTGGGACAAAATACCTGATACCCAAAATGAAGGAAGGAAAGGTTCATTTAGCTCACTGTCTGTGGAGGTTTCAGTCCATAATCAGCTGGCTCCAAAGTAGGGTGGCATGGCACCGGGGCAGCACTTAAAGTTAGCAGAAGAGCAAAAGCAGCCAGAGGAAAAATGAGCAAGGAGCAAGCCTCTTTTCCTCCCTTATACTGTGCATATCTCCCTGCCCAGGGCTGGTGTAGCACTCATAAAATCTCTGCGCCCTCCTCTTGCACTGGATAAGGATGTTTACAAAATAAGAGGGGGCTGGAGGTCTAGCTCAGCGGCATAAGCACCTGCCTTCTTGCAGGTAGAGAGTCGTGAGTTCCGATCCCCAGTACCGATAAAAAGGAAAAAGACAAAAAAAAAAAAAAATAAAAAAATAAGGACCTTGGTTTCCTGCTCTGTCTCCTAGTTAAACTTCTAAATTTTCAGATTGACAGACTGTATCAACCATGACACAGTCCTATCAAAGCTATGAGGTCACATCCAGTGGGTGAAGTATAGCTTGTGGGCCATGTATGTGGGGAAGGCATGGAAGAGCCAGGTCCTCTCACCTAAAGAGGAAGTGAAACATAACAGCACCCCACATCAGGGGTGGGGGGAGGTTGCTACGTGGGACGGGAGCAAGGGGCTTTGCTTGGCGTGGTCCCCAAGTGCCAGGAGGGGACACACATTACCAAACAGGAGGAGATGGCTGAAAGGCAAATGGTCATCTTAAAATACAGAGGCTTGAAATGAGAACAGTCCTGGCATGAGAGCAGCGGTAAGAGCTCTCAGCTGTGCAGTTTAGCGGAGGAACCCTCTCACCTGCCAGTGAGCAGCAGGTGGTCATGGGTTTTGTTGAAGAAATCAGAGCATTTCCCTGTCCCTGCCTCCACCACTTTTCTCTTTCCCTGACTGATTACAGTCCCGAAATCGCTATGGGAACCTCTGGGCCAAAGATTTTGATCCCTGCTGCCTCTACCCTTCCCAGGACTATTTGGGCTTCTTAGGTCTTGGGGGCTTCATAGAGACAGGGTTGTATCAGGCTGGGGTCATGGGCAGCAGCTGTTTGTGGAGTCCCCTCCAGAACCCAGCAGTGGCTGGCACGGCCTGGCCTTGCTGGCCATTCTGCCCTGCAGAGTTTATCACTGAGCCTGTGGTTTGCAGCTGGGTTAAGTGGAGCCAGGCAGTGGCAGTGGGTGCCGGCTGTCTCTGGGTCACCTGTCACCACTCAGGCCTCGAATGCGCATCAGCATTGCACAACCTAAAACAAGTGATCATCAGGGTGGGCGGAGCCGGGCGAATAAACCAGGATGGGGCTCAGTCCATGGGTGTGCACGCGAATACACGAGCACACAGGCATGCACACATGCACATGTGCGACAGAAAAGTGGAGGCCCCGTGTCAGCGACGCTCGTCATTTCAGAGAGCTGCTCCTGCCACGCCAATTTGGCCATCCAGATCACACCTGAAGGGATTTTCAATTCCATGAGCAGGACAGAGGAGGTAACGCAAACATATTCCCACTACAGAGAGGCGGGCTTTTCCCCAGACTGGGAATTGATGCCAGGGTTTTCACATTGAGCTCTATCCGTATCAGACCTTTAAAATTTTGTTCTTTAATTTTTTGAGGCACTTTCACCAAGTCCCTAAATTGCCCAGGCCGGACTCACACTCGTGATCCTCCTGTCTGAGCCTCCCACAGTGCTGGGATTACTGTAGTAAAGAAAGAACTGGCCAGGCAGATGCGATAGCTCATACCTATAAGCCTAGGTACTTAGGAGGCTGAGGCAGGAAGATTGCTGCACGATTGAGGCCAGCCTGGACTACGTAGACCCTGTTGAGGGCTTTTAGCCAGATCTATGTTGAGCATCAAGAGCAAAGTGCCCAACAGAATAATTTAAAACATTGTGAATCTGGCCATAAAAGAAGCTCCAGTAAAGCCATAGACTGCAAAGATAGAGGAGAGGAGACCTCGATTGCTTAGGAGAAAGAGAATGGAAAAGATGGCCTGAGGTACAGGTGAGATGGAGAGGAGGAAACTGAAAGTGTGTACAAGAGACACCATAGACAGAGTGAAGAAACCTATAAACCTCATCACAGTTTCCAGGCAGGATTTTCCATAAAGGGAAGTACATGAGTCTTTGGGATGCAGGGGCAGATTGTTATGGTTCTAATGTAATATAGTGTCCATAGATTTAATACTGGTTGTTAAGGATGGTTAAACCTGTGTTACAATGTTCAAGTTGTGAAATAATAAGAATAAGCATGTCTTTGTATCTACAGTTTAACAGTTTAAAGAAATGGCCATTTTAACAAGGGGTGGATTGTAATGGCTGATACATTGTGTCAACTTAAGAAGTTTAGAACTTTAACTAAGCAACTTAGCAGGGAGCCAGGGTCCTCACTCTGTAAACATTCTCAGCCTGTGCAAGGGGAGGGAATGGAGATGGTCTGAGTGCTACATGCACCCTGGGGGGTGGTAGCCTGCTTACTATGTAAGGGAGGAAAAAAGCTTTCTCCTCTTCCCACCTTTTTTACTCTTGTTGCTTTTGCTGCCTTCTGCCACCTTCAACTGTTACCCTTAACCATGCCACCCTGCCTTGGAGCCAGTTGGTTATGGACTGAAACAGGGAGATCACTCTCTCGGTGACCTCACTTAGCCTCTTTCTTGTGTTAGTTATTTGTTTGTTTGTTTTATGGAGGAGTTGAGACAGGGTCTCACTCTGTAGTTCAGACTGACCTGGAACTCACTGTGTACTCCAGGATGGCTTTCAGTTTGTGATCCTCCTGCTTCAGCCTCCCAAGTATGTGGATTACAGGTGTGCACCACCATGCCTGACTCGGTCTCATGGTTTTAAACATCAACTGTATGCCCAGTTCTCAATTTAATGTACTCTATCTGAACCACACTTCTAGACGCCAAAGCTGCACAGACAACTGTTGACCTGATGTCTCCACCTGAATGAATAATACAGATATCTACAAACCAACATGTTCAAAACTGACTGCTTAACTGTCCCTCTGAACATGCTCTACCTGGAGACTCCCTTGTCGCACTCCAGTTGCTCAGCTAAATTTCTTCATTTCATAGTTCACTTATTCTCTCAGTCTATGCTGAATCTTTTTTTTTTTTTTTTTTTTTTAGCGGTACCGGGGATTGAACTCACAACCACTAGCTTGCAAGGCACGCGCTTATGCCGCTGAGCTAAATCCCCAGCCCGACATTGAACCTTTCAAGAGATTCACCAGGCTGTACCTTCCTTCCTATTCTATTCAAAATCTAGCCATTTTTCACTGCTTCTGCCCAATGAGACAAGGTCTGTCTGTGTAATCCAGGCTGGTCTTGAACTCAGTATGTTGTCAAGGATGACGTTGAACTTACTGTGCAGTCCAGCCTGACCTCAAAGTCATGGCAGTCCTCCTGCCTCAGCCTCCCAAGTGCTGGGATTATAGCCATGTGCCACCATGCTTGGCTCACTGTGGCTTCTCAGCCATCGTCTCCTCTTCTGTCCCTCTTGCTTACTCTGGCTTCCTTCCTGTCCTTCCAACATGCCAGTTAGCTCTACAATGCTGTTCCCTCTGCCTGAGACACTCTTCTCCTGGCTGTCCACGTGACTCCCTCAGGAATTCACAATGGCTAATTTTGCATACACAGTACCAGCTTCCTCTCCACCCTCAAAATGAATTGTGTGCATCAAAAGGTAGCATTTGGGATGACATTGTATTTCTCCACTTAGTGGTCACAGTAATGGACTTTTTAATTTTAGTGTGTGTGCGGGTGGTACTGGAGATTGAACACAGGGTTGTCATACTGCACTACATCCTCAGCCTTTTTTAGTAAGTAAGTCACTAAATTACCTAGGCTGTGCTTGAGATTGATCCTCCTGCCTCATCCTCCCAGAGTGCTAGGATCATAGGTGTGTTCCACCACACTCCATTTGTGATGGCTTTTTTAGACCAAAAGTTGATTTAGTAGAGAGGGGAAACTGCAAACAAAACAAAACAAAAAAAAAAAAAACAAAAAAAAAAAACCTCACAGCCATCGTGGACAGTGTTAGTTTTATGTGACCAGACACCTCAGAGCTCAGAGGAAGATAACCAGAAGCTTAAAAGGCTCTGAAAATTGTTAAGCAGGGAATATGCCCAGAAGCTAGAGACATTCAACACAGGTTAAATCCAAAGGGGGAAGACTGTTTTGTCATTTCAGGAGGAAAAATGGAAAGAAAGAGTTTGCATTACTGGGGTGGA